CGCAGTCGAGGGGCGGCAGGAAGGAGCCGTAGTGGCCGAGGCTTGGCCTTCCCCGTCCAGCGGATCCTGGGCGGTAATACCCACGCACACACGCACGCACACACGCACACGCACGCAGGCACGCAGCCCTTGACCCAATGCCTCAGGACCGAAATGCACCCTCGTCTCCTCCTTCAGTGAGAGAACGGGGAGGGAGGGGAAAGGAAGGGATTAATTTAAACTCTTACAAAGGGAAACTGAAACCTTTTCCTTGTTCTAAGAAACTTAGCATTTACCATCTCGATCCTACAGCCAAGTCACTTCTGTGAGTGCCTAGTTACTGCGGTTACACAAAGGCTGGGTCGAGGCTTGAAATAATAACATTCTTTTTTAGCCCACGATGTGGAAGTGGGCCCTGCAAGCTGGGAGCGGGACATTCTGTCCACTCGGTTCCAGAATAACCAAATCCTCTCGAGGAATGTGTCCAATCTGTCACGAGTCACCCGGGGCTGGAACGCGTCAGTCGGTGTGGTGGAGCTGCAGGAAAACACACTGGGATTATTCAAACCGTGAGAAGAAAAAGACAATTGTTCCCGTGTTCCACTCTGCGAGTGGATGTGAAGCAGAACTCGGTAAACAAAGTTTCATCGCATTAAAATAGGTGTTTTCATAGGACCGTGGAGTCAAAACGTTCTGACGATCCTTTCTGCTGCGACTACTTGAGCTACCACCCGCCCGAGCCGACCAAACTGAGAAAAGAAGCAAACAGGACACAGGGTGAGCATGAACAGACCATAGCTTTATTGGAGATTTACTCAGCTACAATTACTAAAAAAGAAACAAAAAAGCTAAAGGTAACTGACCCATAAGGTGCGGACTGCAGTCTCTGCAGCACGATTACAGCACGAATGAGTTCCACCACCGCGCTCCTTAGAAACATCTGCAGCATGTGACGGTAGATACTTTGTTGTCAGTCAAGTTATACGTGAGTTGTACTTGAGTTCAGTCGTCTTCCTTCACTCTATTTACAGCAGAAAAGCCAGCAATGTTACTTCCTGTTCGACTTCCCAGTTCTGCTGTGTAACCTGCTGCCGCGGTGAGTTCTGAACACAGCTACAAAATTTAAATCGTCTGTGGTTGATGTCCAAACAAAAACAGACTGGAACAAAAGGAATTAATGATTAAACTATATTTACAAGTTAGTTTCGCAAGATCCTTTTCACTGCCAGTGGAAAAATGCAATAGTCTCAAAGCAAATCCCCTGGCCAGTGCTACTGGCATCTCCAACAACCGTTAAAACCACTTTCGTATTCTTGGTCTTCAACACATCTTGAAAACTTTTCATGTACAATACAAAATAAAGACATGTACTGGGAAACAATCAAATTCCTGAAAGGGACTTGGCGGTGGGAAGGGCACACCTGGCTGAACGGGACCGGAGGAGCCGTGCGGCCCGCAGACACGACAGGGACCTCTCGGCGGGGAGCACGGGCCGGGGAGGGATTCAACGTCGGTTCAGACGCGGTTTAAACAAAAACACCACGGTGTCAGTTTGGTGGCTTAAGTTCTGTGTGAAAGGATTAGATGCTCTAACAGGGCGAGACGTGGAGTTTTAAATGCGCTGGGCCTCAAGACCGGCTGCGGCGGGTCTGGGTCTGGGTGTGGGTGTGGGCGGGGACTGGCCTCCACCCTCCGCAGCCGCCCTCCGGTTGAGGGCAGCGGTCCCGGGCAGCAGCCGCAGGAGCGGCCCGCCGGGCGAGCGGCCGCGGTCATGAGCTGAACCAACAGGACCAGGGCGGCCTCAAGTCTCCTGCGACTTAGGCAGGGTAACTTGAATCTGTGTGAGGGTAAGCTATCATTAAGAAAATAACAATATTAGTATTTTAAAAGGTAATTACAGGAGTGTTAGAGGTCATTCTAAATTTAATCACTTCACATAATGTAAAAGAAAAAAGTAACAAACAACTTTAAAACATAATTAAGAGTTCAGTTAACACATCTTCGTCATACTTTCACAAACAGTAAAAATGCCACAGACAAAAATGATCTATTTAAGTTGTGCAAGTATATGACACATTGCAGGCATTACAACGATCTTTTTCAGATTCGGCAAATCAAAACAGCAGCGAGGCCAAACCCCATTCTTCCTCTCAGCGAAGCCTCTCTCTCGTCCTTGAAATGAGGTAAAGCGTGGTACCAAGTGCAATGCTCATCTGTGCTACATGAACAGAGGGGTGGGGAGCCATTACAATACAAAACGCAGCATAGTTAGGACCGCGGAAGGTACATTACAAAAGAAATCAAAAACATTTACAATGAAGGTCCAAGCCAGCCACCCTCCACACAGTCATCACGAGGAGTTTCTGGGGTTGCGTTTCAAGACAGGCTGCGCCAGCCCTGTCCGGGGGCGCCGGCCGCACGAGGACAGCCCCGGGTGGGACTTCCGTGCTACATTCAGTCGCGCGTCGCAGTCACAGGACAAAGGGATGACACACAGTCGGACAGTGGGGCGACACAGAGTGATTTTTTCTTCCCTTAATTAATGGACACAAAACATTGCAACAAGCTAAACTGGGGAAGTCTTTACAGCATTCAAGTCAGCAGCACAAAAGCGTTCATAACCATTTCATAGATCTAACTCGTAGCTTCTCATTTTTAACCTAGTCACCAGGGGATCATAGGGTGCTTCGAAGTGTGAGCCACAAATGAAAATCAGCTACTTTTCTCCAGCAAAAAGAGAGACAGAAAGAGGGGGAAGAGAGAGAGGGGGAGGGTGGGAGGGACAGAGAACGGGGGGCGGGGGGGGGTGAGAGCGAGAGAGAAAAGAGAAAGAAATAACTTAAGTTTGCTGTCGATAAAACATTTTGAATGGTAGTGGGAAATTTGAACCCCTGAGAATGTATGACCTAATCATATCGAAGTCTGAACTTTTTAGCATTAACAAAAAATACTCTTCTTAAGGTTACAAAATATATTGAGGCATTTTTCTCCCAATGGGAACTGTAACTGCGGGACAGTCTGGTTTGGGTGCCAGGAGGCGAGAGAGCCCTCCGCCCTGGGGCCAGCGCGTCAGGCGCGGCGCAGAGCCCCAGGCTCCTGGCGGCAGGTAGTTCCTACGTTACTCGGAGACGGGAGACGGGACCTCATCACGCATCCCCCTCGCGAGTAAAATCCACACCCAGCCTCGCTTACTCACTGTACAAGCTTACAGTTATGTTATTCAAGAATTGCTTGGTTTTAACTTGCCAGGAGATCTTATGATGAGATATTTAAAAAAAAAAAAAAAGAAAAGAAAAGAAATCTATGTTGCCAAATCAGAATTCAGTATTTTAAAAATAAGCCCACCCAAACTAATGTGCTCGGAAACTCACCGAGTAACGACTCGGCCCCCTCGGATGGAAGCGTGAGGCGGGAGACAGCATGCACCGGGAGGTGGGGGGGGCGCTCGCAGCGCCCCCGCACTGAGGTCTCCCTCCCTGGGGCAGGGGGTGCGGGCAGAGCGAGGAGCACAGGACTCAGCCGCTCGGAGCCTCAGGTTCGGGAGGGCGTGCTGGGGGACGCCCGGCACCTCTGCTCCGCGCCCCTCGCCTTCAAGCGCACGTGACGGGCACACGGCGGCGAGCCTCCACCGCTGTGCTGGTGGGCGCGCGGGACTGCCCCGCAGCTTTTGTACAGGTAAATTAAGAGGTATCATAGGTACAGTGCAAAAAAAAATGAAAACTTCAAGCATAACACATAAACATAGCACCACACCGGGGAACACGCGTGCCAAAGGAAAGAAGAACTGAGGTATTTGAGTGGAGAGCGCCTACCGGTCGAATTAAAGGAACTCAGGCAAATGCCCAAAAATGTCTCTTTTTTTTTTTTTCCTTTTCCAAAGACGGAAATAACAAGCTAGGTTATCTAAGTTGATGAGCTAAGTCACAGATGCATCAACATCACGGCAGCTGATCGCGAACATGAACCTGCACGGCGTGAAGGGCACAGCTTTGGTAGGTGGAGTGCACATGCGACACTGCGGAAAGCACAGTGAGGAGAAACTCACGCGAGAAGACGAAGGGGGAAGGTGCTGGGTTTCGCTTCCTTAAGTAAGTAACCGATGATTATAAAATCTGCAGCATATTTTAGGTGTGATATGTCTCAAGTTTACTTTGTTAGAGAAACAGCCTACAGGGGCAACACTATTTGCCACAAACAACTTCCATCAGTGGGACTACCTAGTAGGAAGGTTTTCTTTCTTTTTTTTTTTTTTTTTTAGTAAAATTGGGTATTTAGCCGAAGATCATTTTTATTATGGTTTTAAAAAATCCATAGGCTACAGATCCCGGTTTTTAAAATGTTTTCAGTACACGTGATGGAAACCCTAATATCCTGTTTTAACGTAAGTTGCCACTACACTAGTGAGTTGTGAGTATCACGCTGTCTCAAAATCGAAGGCGTAACAAAATGAAGGGAATGTAAAATTAGTTTGTTCCAAAAAAAGATCCAAAACTAAAGACTATCCATGAGGATATTACTTTTAAGGCAAGAACAACCTTTTCTATGCAGGACTAGGTGGCGTGAGAGAACTAAAACTGGATTCACCAACATGCCAGCCAGCGCTCACTGCAATCTGTCCCTCGCTACCGGGCGCACTGGCGCCGGGGGTCGTCACCGCACACGACGGGGCACGGACACAGAGGCGACACTGGCACGCTTCCCTCCTCCCGCAGCCGCGGCCGCCTGGCCTGCCGGGCCCCGCCGCGGCAGCACCACAGGGACTGAGGCCGGCACGAGGGCTGGGACACCCCTCTCGGGACTGTCTGAGGTGGCAGCTCCGTGGCCTCCTAGCACTAAGCAAAAGTGACAGAAAAATCAAGCTAAAAACAAAACAAAACAACCCCCAAAACTGTCAATAATTATTTTGAACACTTACTAAATGTCATCATTAAAGCACTCTTGTGATTTAAACAAAGCGGAAGTGAGGAAAGAAGACAAGATTGTGTCTGCGCAAAAAACTAAAACTACAATTAGTTCCAAAGTTTTTATACACATGTTAAATGTTTTATTCTGTAATCTATCTTGTTATCAAACTTTAAATTCTGCCTTCAATTCGTTCCGCTCAGTATCAACTTTAAAATCATCCTTTTCAATTTAAATATTTCCACCTTAATTCTGCCTTTTCTTTTTTTTAATTTTAAAAAGGGGTTTCAGCTGTTGGGAACCTGAGGTTGATTAGCTTTGAGGCTTCGTAGGGCTCTGCGTGCTGCTGCGGATTTGGCGATCCTGTAGCTGCGGCCGACACCTTTGAACTTCCCCTTGCCTACCACTTCCACGGTGACTCTGACCTTGCCGTCGTAAGTTCTCTCAGCCGGGCTGCAAAGAGGCCAAACAGCTTGAATTAGCAGTCAGAAGTATTTATTATGACTGTCAGTCAGCACTGGGCGCGCACGCTCGGCCGGGAGCCCCGGGTGCAGGCTGCCGCCACACGGAGGAGCCACGACTCCCTGCACGCCAGCGGCCGACGGGGCTGCCGCTCCCCCTCCCCCTGGTCCGGCTTCGCTTTACAAAAACGAAGGGAGAAGTCAATCAGACTACAAGTGGGAACTGCAGGAGAGCGTGCCCCAGTGTAAATATTTTTCAGAATCATTCGCTGATGGCATCTTTGAGACCTCCCCCCGCCGTGATTTTAAGTAAGTTAATTTTTTCCATGCACATTTTTGCTTACCTAAATTTGGCGGTTTCTGGTTCCATTTCAAGCAATTCTCGCACAGGGGAGCGGGGCACATTTGCAGAAAATTTTTCTGTAATCAAAATGAAAGATAATGTAAATAGTGCCCTCGACGTTCTTTTCCGTTCTGACTGCGCCCTCCAAGGGGAGCCGGCAGTACCTATCAGCGGCCGCATCATGGGGTAGTACACCTGCCACACCGTCTCCAGCGACATCCCGCTGTCCATGTAGATGGCGCCGGCCAGTGACTCAAAAATGTCCCCCATGGCCTTTGGGACTTCAATGTCCTCTTCCTTCTCCTCGTCCTCCTCAGATCTCCTGAGCTGTGACGGAGAGAAAACGGCTGGTGAGCACAGTGGCTGTTTTTAAGGGCAGCCCGCGAGGCACCTCTTTTCCCGGCCGCGACGGGCACTGCGTCCGGAGCAGAGGCAAGGACACCAACCGCTTACGGCACGCCCGCCCCGGTGTGCTAGGCTCTCCGCAACACTGCTTATCTGACACTGAGGAGTGCTGTCAAACTGCTCCAGGAAAACCAAAAGAAAAAAAAATTATTTCTAAATAAAAACAAAAAAACTTTCAACACAAAATTAGAAATAGTCAATACATATATTTTAAAAACTTTTCAAACTCACTCGCCACCAGACATCTGTCCACCAACGATTCCACCCCCGTGGCTCGGCCAGGACCAGGCAGGGCACTCCCGGCAGGGAGGGGCCAGTTAGGAGGTATTTTCCTCCAGCTCCCTTCTGTGAAACACTCAGTGCACGTCCGCTGTGAGCGAGTCCCTGCCGCACAGCAGGCATTCGAATTCACAGAATAAAAACTTACATATGTTTCAAAAGCCTTTTAAAGGTTCCCAATTCTTTGACACAGCAATTCCATGTCTGGAAGTTCCTCTTAAGGAGGTAACTGGATAAATAAGAATATGTGTCGCAGGTTTACTAGAAGTCCTAGCCGAAAACGACGGAAGTGTCCGCCACAAGGGGCTGGCAGGCACGTCCCAGGACAGCCGCGTGCTGGCCTGGCCGGCGGCAGCGACGGAGCGTTGTCAGGCCGATTGCCGCGGATGGCACCCCCGTGCATGCGGCGAAAGGAAGGGTTAATCTGCGCTACTTCTCAGGTTGTGTGTCTGCGGAACTTTAATTTTCTGTTTGCTTATTTGTATTTTCTAAAATAAACACAAGTTACTTGTGAAAGAGAAATAAAAAGCAGGGTGCCAGTAATTTCTAAACAGACTATTCAGTGATACAAAGTTCTATGTAACATTTATAATGCCGACCACTGGAAAAAGAAGATAGTTCTTGCTCCTAAGCAATATTTTAAAACTCATGAAGCTTAACTGTCTCCTTTTACAGATGAGAAAACTGAGGCCCAGAAAGGTAAGATTTTCTTGAAACCAAACAGGAAACTAGAAAGTCAGACCATGACATTTCCAATCAGCTTCTGCAACTGCTATACCTGGTCCTATAAACAAAGGGAAGAAAAAGAATGAACAAAACTGAACAGAACCGGTCATCTGAGAGAATTTAAATCTAAACTCCTCGCACTGCAAGTGTAAAACACCGCCCCAGCGCGGACCGGACCGGAGAGAACGCTGCCCTCTGTGCGGTGACGGCTCCGACCCCGGTCTCACGGCGAGCTGGGCTCACACTCGGAGCGCCAGCCTGGGAGGCCCCCGTGGGGGGCACGGCCAGCGGGTCTCCCCCGCACACACACTCTGTCCGGTCACAGCTGACCGCCTTCCCGCACAGGCTCTGCCCCGACGCCGGCTGCCTGCCTGTGTGATGCCCCAGCACCGAGGCCCTTCCCTCCTCTCAGGGCAGGAAGTCCAGAAAATGCACTCAGTCCCCAACAATGGTTTGGTGCTTTAAAAAAAGGGAAGGCACAAATCAAATAAAGAACAACTCAAACAGCCACCAGAGGAATTTATGAATGAATTCCTGAAGCGCTTACAAGAAACCTACAAAACTCAGAAGAACGAAAGAACCGGCAGGGGAAGGAGGAGAGACGAGAGCACCCTCGGGGCACTCGGGTATGCGGAGGGCCGGCGGTGCGCGACACCTGAGCAGCCCCGTCCAGACACAGCCGCGCAGCAGCCCACACGTCAGAGTCAGCTCCGTCACCAGGGACCTCTGGCTGAACTTACAGGAGAAGCCTCTCGAACCCCAGCGGTTAAAAGTGGAGAAGCCTGGTGTTTAAACCGCGATTTTCCCACTTCCAGCAGAAGCAGAATGCGTCCCTGTGCCGTCCACCTGAGACGTGAGCAAACACCCCGATCCCCTCTGGACAGCAAAGCAGAGCAGACGGACACCGCGGGGCTTCCCCTCGGTGGAGGCTGCCGTGGGGGCAGGGGAGCACTTCTCGGGGAGCCCGAGTGGGGGCGGGAAAGGCACACTGTCTGACTACTCTGGCCAGTCTCCCCTCCCCCAGTGCGGGCAGCCAAGGTCAGAAGGTCCCCGGAGACTGACGCAGTCCCAGCTCTCCCGGGAACATGCAGGTGCGGCCAGAGCGCCGAAACGCCCGAGAGCCCGGGTGCCCGAGGGCAGCTCGGGTCTGAACGCGTCCCCCCGAGCACTGACCTCGGAGTCCATGCCCTGCATCTCGTTCTTCTCGAGCTGGAACTGCACGAAGTCGTCGATCACGTGGAAGAGCTCCGGGGACACGGCCTTGAAGTACTTGTGGTAGTCGTACTTCACGGCCAGCGACGCGAAGATGGTGTTGTTGACCAGGGCGGAGCGCAGGTCGGTCAGGACCCCTGGGGAGTGCTGCCGCGGGTCTTCGTAAAGGTGCTTGGTTATGAGGTAGTCCAAAATCGCATCTCCCAGGAATTCTAGGCGCTGGTAGCAATCTGCGGGAGGAGCCGGAGCGGGGCCGTGAGCCTGGGCAGAACCGTCCACGTGGGTTCCACGGACAAACTGAGAGGGGGGCCTGACCCCGGGGCCATTTGAGAGAATTTTATTTGGGTTCATTTTCATATATATATTCTTCAATGACAAAATTACTTAACGTTGTCATACTTACCGAAACCCCCGGCAATGAAACTTTATTGGCATATTAAGCACATTTCTTTTACATACATAAGTTGCAGTCATAAAATCTCTAAGTGGCCCAAAGACAAATGGCTTATTAAGGAAAAAACCTCTTCCAGCTGACATCACGACCACTGAGCCCCTCTCCTCTGGCACTGTGCTGGCCCGGCAGGTGCTGGACACGGTCTGAGCGCCCCCGCCACACACCGTCACTTCCGGGGGGCCGAGCCCTGCACACACCCCCACCCGCTGCACGCCCCGCAGCCGTCAGTGCACACCAGCTCTCTCACACTCGAATGCATCTAAGGGACACCGGGCCTCGTCACGCCTGGGCCGTGTCTGTTACATAAGAGGACAGCACCCTCTTCTCAACTTGGATTAGAAATACTGAATTTGACACGAACCAAGAGACTGAGAAAGAAGAGTTGTGAGAGTGAGCCAAGACCTGAGGCAAAAGCAGTTGGTTGTCAAAACATAAAAAGTTATCAGGATTAACCAGAATCTAAATGTTCTCAGCGATTCAGAGAGCCCATCCAACTGAGGAAACTGAGGCAGGGACAGACGCAGTCACTTGCCCCAGCACCCCCAGTGGTCCAGGAGGCGGGTGGAGGCAGGCTGGGAACCAGACCTGGCCCCAGGACCATGCAGCCGACGGCCACGCCTTGTTTCTGCCCCCACAACCCACCCCAAGGAAAACAGGCTTCCATCTCCCCTGTCTGTCTTGTCTGGAGACAAGGTGGTGTGGTTTTCACCTTTTGGCTCTACGTTTTTCAGACCACTTTGACCTACATTGTTTTTTTTTTTTATACAAACTTTATACTTTGCTTTGGTATCCTGGATTCGAGCCCTTGTTACTCTGATACAGAAGAAATACGCTGACTTCAGCTGTGTCCCCCAGGCTGAAGCCAGCTTCAGTTTTTGGGGGCCCACCCCCCATCTAATAGACGGGGAGCCTGCGGGGGAGAGAGGGGCCCACAGGCGGAGCAGGAGTCAGAGAGGAAGGCGGCGGCCGTCAGAGCCGGGGCAGCGCACCCTTCTGCGGAGGAGGCTCTGACCATCTGTTCATCTTTAGACCAAAAAAGGGCTCTGAGAGAGGGGCCTCTTTGTTCAGGAAGGATGGTGAAAGGATGTGGAAACACAACCAGAGCACCCAAATAAATCGAGAACCACAGGCAGCACTGTGCGGGCTGCAGAGAGACACTGGCGGGGGACGCGGCAGGGAGAGCGCAGGGACACGCTGCAGCCACCCCCCACCCCGCCCCAATCACGCGGCGCGCACCGGGACAGCAGGAACATGGAAGGGGCCCCGGGGGGCTGCGCGTGCGCTCAGACGGAGCAGCACACCAGGGCTTCCTTCACTGCTCGCTGCCCCTCCCCCAGCCATGCGTCTTAGGCACCAAGTCTGTACGCGCGTAGGTCATTTTTTTACAAGGCCAAAATGACGCCAGTCACACACGGTCTGACTTTCAGAGAGAGGAAGCGGGCCTGGGGCTCCTTACCAGTAATCGTATTGTAGTGGTAGGAGGCATGCGTGAAAGCCTGTAGAAGGTAAGCCTTGTTCTTGAATCTGTAGTTGATTTTCTTTTCAAAATTTTCAAAACCTGAAATCAGGTGGTTCAGTGTTTTATCCGCGTCTGGATGATCAAACATACACCTCGGTGGGATCTTCAAACAACCGTACTCCAAGTCTCTGGGCGCGGAGGAGCGCGGGCCGGCCGCGGGGGCGGCAGCCCGGCTTCCTGAAAGGCTCTTCTGTTGGCCGCCGAGGCTCTCCCGAGCGGGGCCCGCGGCCTTTTCCCGGTCAGCCCTCTTGATCGCCGGGAGCACCTTCAGCCCCAGCGAGCAGAGGAACAGCTGCGCGGCCCGCTCGCCGCAGCTGGTCAGGTAGCAGCCCAGCAGGGCCTCCACGCAGTCGGCGATGCTCTTGTCCGCGATGCACTGCTCCGTGTGCAGGTCGTAGGAGATGGACTGCTTGCCCGTGTCGGCGCCGCAGTTCTCCTCCGACGGGCTCCAGAAGCCCACCACGAAGTCGTCCTCCTCCACGGCTTTGCTGGGGTCCAGGTAGCACATGGCGTCCCACGAGCTATAGTCAAAGTCCTCGAAGTCGGAGGAGAAGGGCATGCCGCCCAGGGAGGACTTCTTGGGCATTTTCCATTCGTAGGCAGAGTCAGCAGCTGAAAGCGGGGAGAGGGGGATTTTCCTCACGAACGCTCCGGACCCCATCAGCATGTTGTCGATGAACTTGATGTGCTCCTGGTCGTACTCCAGGAGGTCGTCCTCGTCGTCCGCGTCCTCCCTGGGAGCCCGCCACGCCAGGTCCTCCTCCTCCTCCTCGTCCTCCTCGAAGGCCTCGTCCAGCTTGCCGTTCGCCAGCAGGCAGTCCTTTGTCTGCAGCGAGGGGAGCGGGGAAGGAGAGGAGACATAGCTGCTGTTTTTAAAAGGGTCTGAGACTCAATAAAAGCGAGGGTTATGGATAATTTCACATGACAACCACAAATACTAAAAGGCAACTTTAAAATCACGGCCATTTGTTTTCAATTAACATAAAATAAGTTATTTAATCATATAAACAAAGTAAAACATGTTCTTTGAATGTTCATTTTCTAAGCTATAAAATGACCTCTATCCAGTATGAAGCTGTAAGTTAAGGGCTTCATACACGGTACGCAGAGTTAAAACGAACGTCCGTGAGGCAAAGCCTCAGCTCAAAAGTCTGACTCCGGCGGCACAGGGCGGAGAGCACTCACGTGCCAATCGGGGAGGTCTTTGGTTTCGCTGACAAAGCTTTAAAAAGATTTTCGAATTAATAAAATTAAATTCCAGATGCAGAAAAAGCACTATCTTTGCAATTCAAAGTATAATGTGAAGACAGATAAAAGTATTTCTTATATCTTGGTAACATTACAAATGTGCAAGCATTTCATTATGAAGTTTCTGCCCCTATTTCTACACAATAAGAATGCGTGGCAGTGTTTCATGGTCAAGTTTCTGTCCTTATTTTACTTCCACATTTGCTACGATGTAAAACTAGACTGTGTTACTTGAAGACTCAAAGTGGTCACTGAGCCTTTAAGCTACGAATCTGGAAAGCACGCTCTCCCCTCCACGGAGCTGCAGTAATCACGGTAACAGAGTACAGCAGAGCTGACAAAAATGGAAGAAAATCTAGACTAACATGAAACACAGCAATCCAATTTCTGACAGAAGGCCTTTGCTAATTCCAATTTCTTTGGCGAAAGCTTATTTGTGAATGACAACCTTAATAATGGGCTGGGACTCAGCAGTGATATAACTTTTTCTGCAATGCTAGGGAGATGCCAAGATTCTGTTGAGCAATAAAATTAAAAACAAACAAACAAACCCCAAGACTATACTTTGGGGGGACAAACAGGAGGGTGTGCTTCGATTTTAATAGTGACAACTTTCCAGAGTATTCTGGGAAAAAAGTTTTCAAACTTTCTGTCAAGCGCTTTTTAAATACCACAAATATTTTCATTTTAAGCCAGACTCAAAAGAGATACAAACTATAATTGCTTGAAAAGAAATAAGAGCAGAAGCCATACACCTATAACTATCTATGCTTTTTTAAATTAAAAAAGTCGATAGAACTTTCTGAAGAACAAGGAAGCACGCCGAAAGAACTGCAATAGCAGACCTCTAGGAGCCGTTTCCCTCCTGCTAAAAACCCTCTACTTTCCAGGTAACATCAGACGGTTCTAACTATTGTTTTGGTCCTTGGAAGAAAGGGCCAAATTACAATTTTAAAAAAATCAGACTGAATAGGATTTTTTAAAGGTTTTATTTATTTTTTAGAGACATGGGAGTGGGGGGAGGAACAAAGGGGAGACACGTCCATCGGCTGCCTCTCCCACATGCCCCCACCTGGGGCTGGCCACAGCCCAGGACGCGCCCTCACCCGGCACGCGCCCTGCCCTGCCCGGGAACGGAACCTGCGGCCGTGCGCTCTGCAGCACAATGCCCAGCCCACCAAGCCTCGCCAGTCAGAGCAGAGACTGAATCATTTTTTATTTAAAAAACCCTTATATATCTTTAGTGAGATGCTAACGCAGACTATAACTGGCAGAGCACAAAGAAGAGGACTGGGTTTTATCAAAAATAAGCTGTATGATCTTGGGCAAAATTCTTAAGCCCCTGGGTTTCAGTTTCTTTATCTGCAAAACCGTGGAATTCCACCTCACTAAATAGTTTCCAAGAGCACTTCAAGCATTTTAAAAATAAAAATGCAGCATGAAATTCTTCTCTTATAGTTCAGGCGAACTTTCTACCTGAGTTGTTACCACCTTCGGCATCTGTGTGTCGTGTGCACCTCGCCCTATCAGGTGAAGGGCAGGGCAGACAGAACGGAACGGGTTACGCATGTGCTTTTCAATACCACGCAGGAGTCTATTTCAGTAACTATAAATTATTCAGTGAAAGAATAAACAGTGCTTTAATGTATTCAAGGAACCACAGTGTCAGTTCATCTGAAACGTCAAGAAAAGAACTGTGTGTTATACTCTAAAAAAAATTGTTTTAATCAAAACGACATGTTGATGTCAACTTTATGCTAAATTTGTTTTGCTTTAAGAGATCAATTATATTGTGAAACAGTATTTACAAGGCAGGATACATTTTTTTTAGTAGAATAATTTTTGTAAAAATGTAGTATTTTTTCTAAAATTCTCAGAACCTATACACTTTTCCCCTAAGGTTCCACCTATTTCTATATTAATGACAAATGTACTTTTTATAGCCCGACTTGCTTAAAACACCCTATTTCTTCTCCACGTAAGTTTAATTTCTGTAATAAGTCAAATACTGCATGACTTAGAAATACACTCAATAAGGAGGCAGAAACCCAAATAGAGTCATAGAGCACGCAGCCTGGAAACACTTAAGACAGATACCAAGGACGTGCATGTCAGACAGAAGATAAGAACACGCACAGTTGGAAAATATAACCTGTGAAAGAGACGGCATTTTCATTGTTGGCCTGAAGTAAAAATGAAGTAACAGCGAACCAGTTTATCACTCGCACGAAATAAATACCCGGGAAAGCGAAGAGCCCAAGATCGCCTCTCCCCTCGGAAGGGGCTCTGGCGTCCTCGGGCCAGCCACCCAGACCCGCCGGCTCCTGCAGTGCGCGCCGAGGCCCTCTGCGGTGCCCCCTGGTGGCCTTCAAGACAAGGCACCGCAAGCAGCTGCAGCTAGTATTTGCAGTCTTCCACCGTCATTGGCAAGACTGAAACTCTTTCCAGAAAACTGCAACCTCTAGGCATGGAGATTTATTTATCACGATGTTTAGGTCACGAGAGGATAAACAGTCCTGAAAAGCCCTGCGCTGCCAACGCAGCCGTGCCTGGCGTTTCACGGTCTCACAGACCGGAGCGCGCAGGTCACCGGAAGTCGCTGCGCTGGAAGTCGCTGCGTTGTAGCAGAGCTGAGGGCCTGCTACAAACCACAGCACACAGCAGGACAGTGAAACGCTGCGGGGTTTCTCTTTCTCTTCTTTTGTCGAGCCTTAGCATCAGAGACTCTTCGCCTCTGGCAAACGAGATAATAAAAGTAGTCTTCCACCAAAACTGCCAGAGTGGTTGTAAATTCAATGAAAAGCCAATTTATAGAGTTACTAACTCAATATATCAAATATCTACTTCATTATAAACATAGCAGGGAAAAGAAGTAAAAAATTAATAGAACAGAATTCTCCCCATCAACAAAACATAGCTCCTTCCAGTTACCACAGACTTACCATTTCATCTTTCTCCCATTTATCTGTGTTACTTTTGTCTTGATTCACTACATAACCGGGAGGAAGCCAGTTCACAGGGGGATCAAAGATCGACACCACCATGCGGCTGGGCAGTCCCTTCTTTTTTCCGAGCCGATAGAGATTACAGTTGCTGACCTTTAGCAGAAAAATTTGTAAGGTACTTACTATAAATTATAAATGATCACTCCTGAATTCATGCAAGACATATTAACACATTTTCACCAAAATTACTTTAACTGGTCCTCAATTGTAAAGACTGGCAGAAAATACTAAATTCTGTATCCTTCAGTGTAGTTAGATGACTATTTCTGGATATTAAATGCAGATCAGAAAAAAACTGATACGTACATACACGCACACATGCAAATTCCTTCTAAACTCAGAGGAGTTCAATTTCCATGTTTTGAAAGCACGACCTGATCACATAAAATGCAAACTACTAATTGGGGCCATCAGAAAAAGATGTGTATAAAAAGTCCAAGATGGCACAACATTCTCAATGGAAGAAAGTGCAGACTGGCCCTGGACAGAGCTGAGATAATCTTGTATTGCTAGAACCTAAGCCACAAATATGGTTTCAACTGCAACGTTTCCTCAAACGCTACTCTTTGTTTTGGATGGCATTTCAAGACAGTTGTGTTCAACCCTCTGAAAACGGAGCAAAAGGCAACCATCAACCACTCCCCATTTATCCGTGTCAACGAGCACTCCACTCTGCTTTCCAGGAGGCCTCGTCTCCTCCCTACTTTACTCAGATCAGTGCATTTCTGTCTCATTTTTGCTTGAAAACTAGGGTCTAGAACTGTGAACCTCATTTTTGTTTCCTGAAAACTGGGTTTCCTTTGGTTTAAGTACTGCATGAGCTCTCCCCCCGACGTCCCCCTACGCCCCCCACCCCCAACAGCATCCCCTGGGACGAGCACCCACCCCAGGAGGCGCTGGGCCAGGCAGCCCTCAGAGAGCGAAGTCAGCAAGGCGGCAGCACCCGCCTGGCACTCAGGACGCGCCAGGGCTTTCCAGGGCTTTCGTGTGGTGCCTGAAACGTGACAGCTCCAGTGACGCTCGCCTCCTTTTCCACACCACAAGAACACAACACCCCAGAAGCCAACGAGAGGGTCAAGGGCAACAGGGGCTTGAAAGGGATGGAATCACATTCAAAGCCGACGGAAATGGCTGGCAGGCAGAAAGGGAAGAAAGAACTAAGGACTCATCGTGGGCCCAGCAGAACTCCGACAGAAATGGGGGGAGCGCTCTGAGAAGAACGCTGGCCGCCTGTGTGCACGTGCACGAGGGAGGGCCGGGCGAGGAACCACCGCGGCAGCCGGGTGACAAGCAGACGCGTCTGGTGCTGAGCGCCCCGGAAGGCCTCACACCAGGTGGGGGCGGGGGAGGGTTTCTGCAGGAAATAGGAGCCAGAGCTTTCTGAGCAGGGGAGTGGATGAATTTCCGGAATCTACAGTAACGTCTTTTTCCCTTACAGAGCACACAGACTGTTCTTTCCGGTCATTTGGCCTCTGACACCGCCTTCCTGCGGCCAACCCGGGAAATCTTGTCTGCGCTCAGAGCTTCGGCTGTCACCTGTATGACGCCTACTCCCCAAACTGTCTTAGCCCAAAACCCTCGGCTGCCTGAGCACTGCACTTCATATTCTGCGGGGTCTGAAAGCCCAACCCGAACCCCAATTCCTACACTTCTGTCCACCTCACCCCAGCCTTCCGGTGTATATGGCTGTCATCACTGTGTCCTCCCCCACCCCAGCCTCCCGCCCCCAACCACACCAGAAGGCAGCACAGCAGACTGCGGAGGGCGTGGGTTCCAGCGTGGGACACACTCTCCGACGACAGCAGACGAGCTAGATGGCCTTGCGCGAACTACTCACACGCTCTAGGAAGCTTTTTACCTGTAAAATGGGGACATGTCATCTACCTCTCAGGGGGTGCGGGGGAGATTAAGGGAGAAGGCCTGTGAAACGCCCAGGGCAGTGCCTGGTGTTACAGGGTGACACCAGGGGTGGGTCAGTGCAATGGTGACGAGCAAGGTCTCTAAAGCCAGGCTGGGCTCTGCCACCTCCTTGCAAGGGGACCCCGGGCAGGTGGCCTCTGCTGGCCCAGTACCCTCCCCTGACAAACGGAACAGCAGAGAGAGCAGTGTCTGGCCCGAGTAAGCACTTCCTAAGTGCTGGCTACAGTCATGATCCCCCCCAAGCCCCTCCCTTACTGCCGGAGCTCAGATCTATCGAATTTTCTGCTTGAGCTTGGTCGCTCAGCTTGGGCTGGTCTTGTTTTTTAACTCACACTGCATTCTGCTACTAGATGGATCACTGAAAGCCACCACTTTAGTCCCTTATGCAAAAAGTGCCTTCGACACTCAACAGTGCCAACTTTCAAAGTGCAAACTCCCTTGCCTGGCACGGAAGATTTCCCACAATGTGGCTTCAGCCCACCTTCCTTTTCAAGCAGAAATATCCACACTTCTGCTGCCGCCACCGCTGGTTCACCGAGCGCCAACACACCCTGCCACTTGTCCCTCTCACGCATGCGCTGTGAACTCACCTCTTCTGTTCACCCCTGCCCTGAGTGCTGGGAGATCTGGCAGCTTCCTAAGTTACCTGTCCAGCAGGTACACGTTGCCTGTGACACCTCTTTTATCATGAACTATTTTACCTTCATCACCTTTCTTCCATAGGCCCTGATCCCACACTAAATTGAAGCAGCCGCCCTTCCTTTGGGTTCTCAGGTGCTGCTCGCTCAGAACCCTGGGCTCGCTCTCCTCCTGTGGCTGTGGTCACGGGCTCGGGCAAGGCCCTGCCCCCGCCCCCTTCCCTGGCTCCCTGGAACCCTGGAGATGAGCTGCCCCAGGGAGGCCCTGGGTCTCGTCCAAACTCGCACGCCCGGTGTGCCCAGGCGGCAACCTCCCAAAGAAATGCTCGAGGGTTAGGAGTAACCTAGGCACACGCACGTCAGCCAGCCCCCACGCCTGAGGGCATCACGGGTGAAACACAGTTCCTGGGTGGCTGTGCCGCAGGCTGCAGCCGCACAGGTCGGGTGTGGCAAGCCCGGAGGTGCACCCTTTCCTCTTCCTCACAAACCATCCGGTCCTTTACAGCAATGTGGGTGCCCAGACAAATCCCTCTACCTGCCGAAAACAGGAGAACGCTGCCTTACCTTTTTGCTTCTCATATAGGAAAGGCGGCCCTCGTGAGCATCGGGGTAAGTGCAAAACAGGTACGTGGTGATGGCGTGCTTTAAAAAGGAGTCACCGAGCATCTCCAGCCGCTCCAGGTTAAATCCATCACTAGCATTTGAAAGGGTCAAAGCCTGAAGGATGAGTCCAGGATTTGGGCCGAGAGTCCTCGAGGAGTACCCGGGAGGAGGACTCCGCTCAGAGCCCGTCCCGCCTCTGAGGACCGTAACAGCTTCCGGAGTACCAGGCACCGCGGCCCCCAGGGGACTGCCGTCTGAGGTAGATGAGTTAGCACTGCCATCAAGGTATGTGTTACTCAGTAGAGTACATTCATCGCTGGGCTTGGGCTGGTTCTCGTAAGTGTACAAATGCTGAATGGGGTATGAGGTAGTTGGTTGTACAGGTATTTCCTGCTTGTAGCATTTCAGCTGATTTCCTTGGCAAAAGTCTCTGTTAGCTAAGTCGTAACTGCCATTGGCAAGGTTTCCATGGTAAGAAAGACCATTAATTGCTGTCGGGTCTGTTGAAACTTCAACCGGGAGTCTAGCGGACGGCTCACCGAGGAACGCGCTGCGGCTCACAGACATTTGGTCATGATCTTCTGCAGGGGAGGCTCTATTAGCACCTTGATGCGCAGCATTTTCAGGGACGGTTGTGCTGTGCTTGCAGTGATTATCATTTTCAGCTGGAGAGGAGTTAGCCATCGAGATGAAGGATTTGCTGTCGATAGATTTTTTCCACCCGAAGTCTAGGTTAGGGTATCTGCAAAGACATGTTTGTAAGTTTTCGTCAGATCCTTCCACGGGGCTAGGCTCAGAGCAAGGGTGAGTAGAATGAAGAACAAATGAAGATCAGCACAAACACCTCCTACTCGGGAAGAGAGACCAGGTTCCAGAGCGGAAACCGGCACCGCCGGAAGTCTGCACAAGGACAGCTGCACGGCGGGGCCCGTGGCAGCGGGGGGCAGAGGACACGCAGCCAGCAGCTGGCCTGAGGCCCTCTGGTTCACTGGCTGGGCGATTCTGGGCAACTTACAGAACCTCTCTGAGCCTGAGCTTCCTCCCTGAAAGAAAAGCTAATAACAATTCCTACTGTTACAAAGTTCCTCGATCTCTAGAACCATCTCGGTCTTGCCAACTGGATAACCGAAAGTAATCTGAGTGGTTAAACCGATACACTCCCTAGAATGCAGAGACTTTACTAGCGGAAAGGACACAATGAGGACGAAGCGCGTTTCGCGGCGACTACTTTTCAATACGTAGTGGATTTTTAGGAGGAAGCCACCTCAGAGCGTCACCGCAGTGACACAGGCCGTGTCCACTCTCACTGCAGCCCCACCGCTGAGGGAAGACGATCGGTTTCGGTCTGCGTGCCTCCTCGCCCTCTGCGCATGCACAAAACACAGGACTGTGCAGGTTTCCACTCGGGAATCCGAGGACGCGTTCATCTTACGTATTAGATATCCGTTTTCAAGAATAAGAACCATTTCATTTAGAATTAAAATTTTAACTTCATTCCACTCTTTCGCTCTCTCTGCCAACACCGCGGACCTACCGAAAATCCACAGGAAGTGACCGGACGCCCACGCCAGCGTCGCTGGCCGTCTGGGCGCGCAGCTCCTCCGCGGTCAGAAGGCAGTGAAGGCGATAGAGTATGCTGGGGAGGCAGACCGCTTTTCTCCACAGTGATGCTGGAATGGGGTGGATAGCACAGAGTTCCGGAACCAGGATCTTTGAGCGTGAAAAAATGCGAAAAGGTAAATTTAAACCGAACACAAAAGAATGAAAAACAAATTTAAGACCAATTTCACTAACAAATAAAGACAAAAATCATGAGTACTAGCAAAATCTTATTTTTAAAAACATTAAAAAAATAACCCTTGAAGGCCACATGGGTCTTACCCTAGGATTATAAGGGTGATTTCATGATATACTCGCGTCAGTGGACCAAATACATAAGCTAAACTCATGGCTGCCAGGACAGAAGGGGGTAGAAGACCGGGTGGAAAAGGTGAAGGGATTAAGTACAAGTCAGTGGTTACAAAACAGTCATGGGGATGTAAAGTAAAGCACAGGGAATATAACCGGTAATACTGTAATAACTGTGTGTGGTGTCAAGGAGATCCTGGACTTACCGAGGGGATTCCTTTGTAAGTTATACAAATGTCTAGCCACTACGCTGTGCATCTAAAACTAGTGTCAACTGTAACTGAAAAACTGAAAACTAAATTTCAGCCCTGGCTGGTGTGGTTTAGTGGACTGAACGCCAGCCTGCAAATCAAAGGGTGGCCGGTTTGACTCCCAGTCAGGGCACATGCCTGAGCTGCGGGCCAGGTCTCCAGTAGGGGGCGTGAAAGAGACAACCACATTGCTTCCCTTGTTCTCCCTCTCTTCCCCTCTCTCTAAAAATAAATAAATAAAACTTTAGACAATTAAGAAAAAATATTTCTTAAAAATAATCACTGAAAGCCAAATGAGATTTATGCTAGGATTTATAAGGGTGATTCCATGATATGAATGTATCAATGGACTGAATATAAAAGCTGAGCCACTCATACTTACCAAAAAGACAACGAGAAAAGCCAACACGTAATATCAATTAAACCAAAACAAAACCCAGGAGTTGGGCAATTTCCAAACTATCTGCCAGTCTGTTAGTTCACCCGGTATTGTAACAGTCAAACTTATCCTTACAAATACTAAGTTACGCCAGTGACCAGCAGCTCATCACCTGCTTGTTCTGCAGGCTCTCCCACTTGGCCTTCCTCTTCTCGGCACTGCTTAGCGGGAGAGCTTTCCCTTTCTGGTTCAAGTGGCGAGGCGTCAGAAGGTTGAGTCTGCAAAAATCCCACAGTAATTTTACCCACCAGACAGGAACGAGTGCACCTGCACAGCGACCCCCCCACTCTGGTGTGCCCACAAACCACCTGCAGAGCTCACTTCAACCCCAGACCCCTGGACCACACCCTGGATGACGGTGTGAGCGGAAAGTCTGGACCAGAGGCTCCAGGCGGGCAGTAGGGGCAGTGAACCCCTCCGCGTGCCCAGTGACCTCTGGGAAAGCGCCAGGAGGGGAACCCCGTACCTTGAAGATGTGTGGTCCACATCCAGCAGCGGCTGGTTGAGATTGGTCAGGTCAAGGTTATACTTTGTTTTGTAATACTCTGCGAACGTTTCATACTCGGGGGAAGGAAATTTACTCAGTGGGGTAAGATCAGTGTACACATCAGCTACATAAAATCGATGAGGCTGATCAAAATTTCGATACCTGAAAAAGAAAAAACGATCAGTGTCTTTCCATTTAAATCCACTATTCTCAAAACACAACTGATTTTAATATGGAAGAGCAATTATGATTTTAATGTAAGAGTTCAAAAGGTTAAAAATAAGGAACGTTAATGAAAGCTTCAGTTCCAAATTATGTATTTCAAGCAGTTTTGAAAAAAAGAACTACATCTCTATCAAGTAAGACCCAACTGACCATTCTGCCCTGCCTCCCCTCACTCCTGTCTCGCCTGTCTGTACGTGGACCGCACAGGACGCTACGTGGCATCCATGAGAACAGTATACAAAACTTCCAATATCCCAACTGCGTAAACACACAGTACATTACTAATGCTACCCACGGCAGACACCGCCACGTGGAATGTGTTACTGCACCATTTATGATGCTGACAGTTTGATGACAGCTGACATTTATAATATGGCCTTGAGGTGCACAAAGAAAAAGAATCAGAGAAAGAGTGTATTACAGCCAGTACTCTAATTCTTCAAAAAGTGCCTATATTTAATCTTATTGCTAAAAATCTCCATTCCCTAAATTTTTACAAAGTAAGAAAAAAACATTTTGATTTACAACGTCCTTTGCACTTAACAGCATTATCCCTTATAACATTTCCAGAGAAATATTATCTATGATCACTTGAATGCTCATCTGAAAGACTTGGGGGATTGAAAGGATGGCAATTTTACCAAGAAAGCCCGTCACCACTCAGACTACCTGACCTTCACAAAGTGAAACCTCAACTACATTGTTTGGGTTTTGTGTTTTAAGGACATAAATTGTAGAGAACAAGTACACCGTGAAGAGACACTTAAATTTTCTAGGAGAAACATCAACGCCGAAATCACAGCCCACTTACACTCTCTCCCGAACAAGTTAATCTTTTGAAACAGAGCATCACCAGCACTTTGATTTCCACTTAACCACCTACCTTGGAATGATAACTGCATCCTGGTAATCTTCCAATTTAAAAACAAAGGGTGTTTCTTTTGAATACTTTGTACTGGGAATGCCTATGCGAGCTTCGGATTTCTCAATATCTTCCATGAATTTGAAGTCAATGTCCAAAGTGCTGGAGTCGTTAACTGAGGGAAGACACAGAGCCCAGCTTGTGAACGTGCAGGAATACAGAAAAGACTCTCACTCGAGCTGTACGTCCACATGCTAGTCTAACGTAGAGTTACCGCAGTAAGAGATTCTGCAGTACACACAAAAGCCGGCTGCAAGCACGACTCCCACCTTTTAGCGAGCGGAAGTGGGTGCGTTCGAGTCGGGGTCCCGCTTACCGACATTCAGAGGTAGAACACAGTATGCTGAGTCGGCGTCTGTGGGTTTAAATTCTAGTGCAGGCTTCTCGAGGCGAAGGATATGCGAGAATATGTACTGGTGGAGCCTTGTGATCAGTTCGAGCATTTGAAGAGACAGTGTGAAACCGGACTTCTTCAGCTCAATGGATATGGTCACCTCCCCAGAGCGCGTGTACACAGGAAAGTGCGGGATCTTGGCGAAAAGAAAAGAAAGCATCCCAAAGTCAACGGGCGGGCGTTTCCTTCCTTTGCAAATATTTAACTTCAGAAGGGGAACGGTGCTCTCTATCAGGGAATCGAAGGCACACCTCAATTTTTAAACGTCAAACGTGCTGAGCAACAACAAAAGGCAGTCCTTGTTAGTTTCTCCTTTGTTAAAGAAACTATGTATTTTTAACATAATCTGTCATCATGAAGTCTTACTTGAGGTATGGGTTTGGCTGTCAGTATTCCAAAGCATCTTGTGGTGTCCTCAGGGGGATAGAGCTTCCGCCTCCTGAAGTTGAGCTCATCAGGTAACGGTGTCGTGAGAACCATCCCGATCACATACAGGTAGCAGGGCTGATCCGGCTTGGGGTAGCTGTCCCTCAGACATTCCGGGATCTAGAAGCGGAAAAAAGGTAAGCATCAAGCTCAAGTATAACGGCCCCTTTCCCAGATGTTGGCAAAAAAGCAAATTTATTCCTGGCTTTAGCAAACAACGATGAGGAAAAGCTACGGAGAACCGAGGCAGAAGACCCCCAGGTCACTGAGCCCACCGGAGAGTGAGCATTTCTCGGGCTGGGGGTGCGAGGTGGTCCAGTTCACCGACCTCACAACGCGCTGCTGCTTCTACACCTCCAAGGAGGAGTCGGACTGGGATGCTTCAGTGCCTGAACCCGGCCACGGGCCAACCTGGACACACACACTGAGACAGCTGATCCTGCCCCCCACGTGGCCATGCCCCAACTCCTGACACACGCCTGTACTCACACCCCCAGGTGTGCCCCTCACGAACGGGCACTTCTTCACTTGTCCACTTTACCATACAAGCTCTCTTTTGTCTTAGCCCCAGACATAAGCAGAGCAATACTCTTATCACTACAGTGAATGAAACGAAGAATCTGCCCTACATGAAATAAAATTCCTCTGGGTGGGATCAGAGGGGCGAGCGCAAGAACCCGGCGGAGAAGCAAGACGACGCGGGGTCTGGGCGGGGCGGAGTGCCCGGTGTGCGCAGAGAGCAGGGCTGGGGGAGGTGCAAGGGGGGGGCCGCGCGGGGGCCCGGGGCAGACCCAAGTGCAGGGGCTGGGGGCCGAGCGGAGGCGCTGCGATGCGACGCGCCGGGGGTTAAAAGTCAGGGGGGCCAGATGTCTGCTCAGTTCTGACCAATACTAACTGCCTTTGGGTAGCACTGTCTTCGCTTTGTGGACCCGGGTCTGCCTGGGACACTGGTCTCTTCTTCGTCATGCAAATCGAGCTCTTCCTCGTACTTAACAGTTTCTTTCCCAACAGGCATCAAATGGTCATCCAGTTCGCCTAAGGAAGTCAGAGAGAATTAGCAAGTACAAACGTTGCGCCCCCACGGCACCAGGAAACGGCACGGCACAGCACAGCGCCGCATTGGGAAGCACCCGGGAGGGCGATGACAAAGCCCCTTTGCTCTCCGTGGAAACGCAGTCGAGCGAGACCCTTCGGGCAAAGCCTGCGCTGACATTCATATACTCAACATGAGCAGGACTGAAACTGTTCCGAAAATAATAAACATGTAAACAGGAAAATGGCACATTTTCACCACTCGACAAAAGCCAAGGAAAATGAGTCTTTCCATTTTTTAAAAAAGTGAATTAAATTGTACACAAATATAGAGTTATTTGAGAGCTGCAGTAAAATACAAACATTTGTGACTTGAGAGCATAAGAAAACCTTCATGTACTTATGAGAAGTCAGTAAAGAAGCACAGACAGTGGCCTGCAGCCCAGCCTCAGAAAGGAAAGCACTGCCACTCCTGTGCCGGACCTTCTTGTCACGTCCCGTCCCGTCCCGGTCACCCCCATAGTCACCGCGGCCGCACGAGGCAATGGTCGAGTCCGCCCTCCCCCACCCATGACCTGCAGGGGCCTACGAAGTCCTCCATGTGCTCTTGTTTTACCGTGTTTTTAACTCTACTTTTATTTGCATGTGCTTTTCAAACACTTACCAATTTTGTGCAGTTTTTCACAGCAAATAAGAGCCACAACTCTCTCAGCCAATCGTATACAACTCATCGGTGGACCCTGAAAATAACAAAACATACATATAAATTTTGTTATATGTGTATATAAACATAGCTACATTAACACCGAAAATAGCCATGAAACCTCTGCCCCAATGCCTTTCAAGTTGAAATTTGCCAGAATAAAGTTCTTTATTTTGAAAAATGTCAACAAGTTTAAGATGTCCTAATCTCCATATCTAAAATAGCCATCTTGAAACATCTTGCCCAGGAAAAGCTAAACCAATTTTAATTAAGGTCTGACAATTTTGGTGAACTTAAATTTTAGTAAAACTTTAATACATTTTTTTTCCCACTAACCTACACATATACACCCCCCAAAGTGAAGACACACCAGGATGCGACCCCATCACACACAGTGACCACACTGAACAACCTGCAACGTGCACTGGAGAAGGGTCACCTCGGGACAGCGCCTGGACATTGGCTTGGGACCAAGGACAGCAGTTACCCAAAGGCAGACTGTCAACGACCAAGTAACTAGCAGCCCAACTGCATTTAATGAATTCTGTGTCACTGTCTGTATCTGAGCAGCAGCTGAACGATTCTATCAGAAATGTTCACATTAATCAGACCTTACAGGAAATTTCAGAGGTCATACATTCCAATTCTCAGAGTCCGTAAGCTATACAGTCCATTCAAAAATTGAACATGTAGTTGACTACAAAAGAGATTTATATATCTACTTTTCAAAGTGGATGTAAAGGCCTATTTACCTATAAATTGCATAGGCTTAGAGAAGCGAGAGGAAAAAAAAAGTCCATTAATGGCGCATGTTAAAAGCACAACCACTTCTTTCTCTAAACTTACAACAATGGAGGCTCGGAGAGGTGAGTTGATTGGCAGATACAGCGTCGAGTAGAAGGTACCATCCGGCAGCTCCCGGGTCCTGCACTTGGGAGCCAGGTGAGTGAACGGGTCACTGGGCAGTCTCGCGCAGTATCTGTGGGGAAAAGGAGTGCGGACACTCGATATAGCCGAGAAACAGCTCAGCTCAAGCTGGGAAACGGATGAAAAAATCTCTGCTGATATTCACGTCCTCGAGTCTGATTTCTGACGTCCCCCCTCCCCTCTACTGGGGCGGCATCTGCATGTGGAACTGGAGCTTCACCACTGCTCAGGCTCTCGAGGAGACGGGACAGGCCGTCCAAGAGACCTGTCTGCCATGACGTTCTGTAAGTGCAGTGTCCAACAGGGTCACCGCTGAGGCCCTGAAATGTGGCACGGACAGCCAGGGAACGAAACTTTTTATGCTATTTAATTTTAACTAAAACTGAAATTTGAATTTAAATAGCCACACATGTCAAAGGACTAGCATGCTGGACAGTGCAGAAAATACTGCTCTGAATCCGTTACGACAATACACTCCCACAACTGTCAGCCACTACCGGGGCCTGTGCAAGGAAGGCGTCAGCGGAGGGCGGAAGGACAGCCCGGCGCTGACAGAGCAGGGCCTGAGGACAAGACCACCAGCAGGGGCCCAGGAGCGTGTGGCTGCAGGGTAAGCAGCCAGCTTACAGGGAGCTGAGGCGGAGCGAGGAGGCTCCTGGGACAGGAAGGCACCCCGGGGGGAGGGGGGGGCAGGGCCCGTGCAGTTAGGGCACCCACACGTGACGCCAGCCCTGCAGTGCAGGACGCTGGCTACGTACAGGGAGACAGAACACAAATTCCTTTGGAAGACAACGGAATCCTAATTCTCACCCCTGAGGAAGCCAGCAACGAAGATGGGAAAGAGGAAGAAAACTAGAACGGACTCTCTGGTGTCACCCGAAACGCAGAGTAGCAACAGACAAACAGTCAGACACGGAAATACGGACGTCAGTGCGTATGTGAACAGATACATGTGCCCAGGCACAGGGTTCTTTTCCGGCTCCGTCCACTGAAGAGCCCGGTGGCGGTAACAGTTCTCCGGAGGCAACACACACACCCGGCGCTCAGACCTTTGTGTTCGAGCACCGCACACTCTGCAGTAAAAAGAACCGGGCCCTTTGGGAGAAACAGCCAACGTCTAGTCTAGGGCAGGGAAAACAGGCTTCAGACCGGGACATGCTGGTACTCCATAAAATAAGGACGCGTTCAGAGAACAGTAGTAACATGATAAGAGGACCTGGAAGCTAGCTGGAAGGGGCTCCCACTGGCCAAAATTTTAACATCCAAACAAACAATAGATTAGATTAGTAGATTATAACCCACTGAATAAAACCAGCAGTCCATTAATTCACATTGGATGGTAAGAGGCCAACTAATAAACGCAAAAAAAAAAATAGAATAAGAAAATCTCCATTCTGTAGAAATCACAGTAATAATCAATTTAGGCAAGAAACAGAAATAGATACTTAAGGTAAAGGGTGAAACGGGGAAGAGGAATACATTTATAGAGTCTCTCCACAAAGTGAGTCACGAATCTGAGGGGGGAAAGGTAATCTCACAGCAGCCCAGGCCGGCGGACCTCCCGTAAGTGATCCGAGTGCCCGCGGCCGGGGAGAACACGGGGGACGCCGAGCGCCCCAATGAAATGAGATCAGCAGACACGCTGGCTAAACACGCATGACCTGGGCCCGATCCCCGGAATATCAGATGAACCCAAACTGGGAGACAGGCCGCGGCAGGGCCGGCCTGTCAACCTGCCAAAGCCGCAAGGTCACTGAAGTCAAGGGAAGACCGGAGAGCCGTCCCAGGCTGAAGGAGACCAGGAGTGATGAGGAAAACAGACACAACGCATGGTCCCGGATGGGATCCTTCCACCACAAAGAGCACGCTCGCTTGTGGAACCGGAGTGGATCTCCTGGGCGAACGGTGTGTGGGAGTTCTTTGTGGCATTCTTGCAACTTTTTAAAGTACGAAATTATTTCCAAATAAAAGTTAAAAAGAAGAACTCAGACTTGCTGCTGCTGTTATTTGGCCTCTACGTGAAATTTACCCTGCTACATAATATAGGTATGTGCCTGCTTTTCTTAGCTCTTAAAAATGCTATCGCCAGCTCAGGGCAAAGTAAACTAGAACATACTCAAAAACACAAGTTAATTCATCACAATCTTAAATCCTTGCTGATGAGAAATGCAGTATCTTCCAACACTCGTGGCACGAAACAATAAAATCAGAATTCAGAAAAATACATTAGTGAGCACTGTGAAATTAAATCTAATTAAAATAAGCGTGCCTTCACCATGTCAACCTTGTCTATGAGAACTAAACATTTTACTGTGCAATACTCTTTGTGCCTCCTGACCAAAAAGAAGGAATGGAAAAAAACAGCTTCTCCTTCTCTTATCAAAACGTTACAAGCCACACACGGGAAGACCGCTGACGGTTTGCGAAAGGGAAACCCCGCAGTGCTCACGTGCAGGCGAGCTCGCACCGTACCTGTTGATGTGCCCGATGGCCGTGTTGATGGTGACTCGCGGACCGCCGTCGTCGGGCCTCAGCACGTACGGCGGGAAGACGTCGTCGTCGTCCACCACGGGCTCCACGTCGGCCTCACCGGAATCAACCGACTTGGAGCATTTGTTTCTCAGGATCTGGGCATTTCAGAAACAGAATCTGTGACGACGACGAGCGCCTCCTTTGCCACACGTGGGCCGTCTACCTCTGCACCTAGGGTAGTTTCTTTGACGCGAAACCTCTCTCCGCTAAACACACTTCGCTCCTTCCAAGGCGCCCGCTGCAGGAAATTCCTCCCGGTGCATCCCTCCTAGCGCCAGCGGCAGGGAGACACTCGGCCTACAGGTGCAGGGGTTAGAGCACCACGCCCACCTGTGCGAGCACACGCACGTGCGCGTGCAGTCACCAACATTTCATTCGCGCAGGAGCTCTGGCACCGCTCCCGAATCCCTCCACAACCCAGTCAATCAACTGTCACCACCCTGTGCACACGACCAGTGTGCCTTCCAGGCCTCCTTCCTCAATAATGCACACGACTGTTTGCACCACTTTATTATTATAGGATTTCAAACACTTTAGAAAACACTGCTGGCTCTTTGTAGGTTCACTTTCTCATAATGTACACAGTGCACACGCCTTTTGAGACCATTCTCTGTAGAGACTTTTTTTATCTATTTCTACGTATATAAAGAACAACAAAGATACCGTGTTAATTTGGGGGTCTTACCTTTTCAATAGCTTTGTATGTTTTCAGATCTTCTTCAAAACTTTTTATCTTGTCCGTGTCCGCTAACATTATGTAATTGGAGATCGGGGCCCTGGCTCGTCCCTTGGATTGAACGTAGGAGCGATACTCCGTGGGCAAATCGAAACGGACCACCAAGTTGCACTTCGGTATATCGACGCCCTCTTCCACGATACTTGTCGCAATAAGCAGGTTGGTCTCATGAGCCCGAAATTTTCTGAGTACCTGAAAAAAATCCACCAAAGAAACCAATGTTGTAAAAGGAAGCGACAACTGTCATTTCTGACACATACTCCGGGCACACTAAACTTTTAAGGCCAGGCAAAAGAAGACGACATCAGACGAAACTCAAGATGCGTGAACACATGGGCAAAAGACACAGTTTTTCAACTGAGTCTGACTTGAAACGCTGAAGTGCCTTTCGACCGGACACAAGCGTCCGTGTACGAATCACAGAAAGCCTTCGGGCCGAAGGGCTTGGCCCCTTCGATGGCACAGGGGAGTTTAGCCAGCGAAGCGAACAAGTGAATGCACTTCCCGAGTCCTGCTGACGTTCTGACCCTCTGCAATGCTGCGGTCTTATGTCTGTGAGGCTGTGCCAGCATCCGCCCAAAGACGTAAAAATTCACTAAAATCCCTATAAGATGTAAGCAAGGCATTATTTACTTCTCTGGAAAGTTGGGGAATTTTCGATTGCAGAAATCAAAATCAATCAGAAAATAAAGTGAAAACTTTTTTACTACCAGATTTAAAGTAACAGCACATGCCAATTCAGAATAACTAACCCAGTAAACTGGGTTTTAGAGACCTGTCGGACTCCGGCTACTGGGCTCCCCGGACTAGGGATGTTACCAAAGCGCTATGACGTAGGGTATGACGTCGCCATGAGTTATTCTGCTACTTTTAAGTTAAAGAACAAACTTTAAATAAAAAAGGTTTCTGTGAGCCAGAACACTGTAATTAGGTTTCCACACCTTCAAAATGCTGTTTTCTATACTAAAATCTTAAAAAGCATGGAAAAAAAATAGTCAAAATGTTGATGGAAAGCAAAACAAAACCCACTCAGGAGAAACTTCCGTCTGTCGCTTCAGAGTCACCTGGAGTCGAAGGCGTGGGCAGTGCACACGCTCTCTGTCTGCGAGAAACACTCGAGCGCCACCAGGTTGACAGAGGGAAACGACACGGTTGATTAGGACACAAAACTGATTAGTAACCGGACCGCAGTTCTAACCCTGAACTTACGCATCACTACACAGCCACCTCGGAGGGGATGGCTGCTCCCCGTATTCCAAGGAGCGCCACGGAACCTCGGAGAGAGGGGGCTCCTGGGGCCAGAGCGTGCCTGCGTGCGTCCTGAAAACCGTCGCCGCACGGCGGCTGTAACTCACCTCTTCCTGTTTTCTGAATTCTGCTTCCATCTGTTTGTTACGAGGCTGATTCTTTCCGATGCCATGTCCAGTTATGAAATTGCTGCTGATGTAAGCCAGCTCTGGATCTTGTTTGCCAGCTTCCTTTATCAATCTAAGAAAATTACATACATTTTGAAGTTAAGCACTGGTGAGGGGAAAAAAATTTAGACCCTGTTTGGAAGGTCTCCCTCAAAATGGAAATGCACGTATTTTTTGCCAACATACCTAACAAAATGATCCTGTATTTTTTTTTTCCGAGAAGCTTAAACAGAAATCACTGCCACCCTCCACTGAGCAAACCGTGAACCTAGCACTTACGACACCAAATACAGGGCGATTTACACTGACGAATAAAATGGTCCCAGTGCCTCCACCTTCCTAATTGGGCAGTGACGCCTTGATGGAACCGCGGCCCGGGGAGGAGGACGGAGCCAGGCAGGGGGAACAGGAATCCCTCCTCCGTCTCGGCTTCAGGCCGCACACACTGGTCCATCCACGCGCAGGCAGGACCCGCGGCAGCGGTCGTGCCCTCGTCGCCGTGGCCTCGCTTTCACCGCAGAAGTATCACACCCCCTGACGCCAAAGGGGGAAGTTCCACAGCAAAGGCAACCTCCTCTCTCTCTGCGCGCAAGGAGAGAGTCCCGGCTGTGCGTGAAAAGAGGGCTGGTGAGTTCCCGTAGTCTTACCCAACACCCTGCACCACGGCGCGCGGGGCTCCGGAGGAAGGAACACCTGCGTCCACGAAAAGCACCTCCAGTCCCGACGCTCCCACGTCCGGGCACGGACCGCAGCTCTGCACAACAGATCCCGGACCCGGGCACAGCAGTGCCAGAGCCCCATCCCATCCTCGGATGAAAGAGCAAGACTCCGGAGCTCGCCCTTCCCGCCTGCTCCTCCACCTTAACCCACAGTGCTCGTCGCCCAGAGCGGGCCTTCCCGCTGAGAAATGGGAAAGAGCTACAGGAGGGGATCACGTTACGCGGTACAGAAGGTTAACAGTTAGTGTTGCCATTACAGCTATTTTGGAAATACCCGCGTTCAGAAACTCAGCACACAGGATAAACGGTTCCACACCTGACGTAAGTGATTCCATATGGTCCTTCTGAAGTCATACAACATAGCATAAATTCCTAATAGAAAATTGCATTTTTAAGTCAAACCATTCTGTTTTTTCTTTTATAAATACATGAAACAGACTAATATCAAAGAGCTGGAAGAGACCTCGAGTGGCCATCTAAAATATCCTCCCGCCTCCCATCGGCACAGCCCCGGCACGCCGAGGTTAGTCTGAAAGCCTGTCTGCAATTCAAGCACTTAAACGTTCAGAACCAGGAACTTCCTTAACATGTTCCAAGCTTTGTTTAATTGTAACAATAAGCTTAAGACACTCGGAGCAGAAAGCAGTGCCACAGGCAAACAAATAACATGACCCAAAATCTAAAATATGAAATTACCTTAGAAATATGTGCTTCCAAATTTTAGCTCATATAAGCAAGCATCGATATGAATGCAACAGAGGCTAAAACAACTCATTTCAAGCTACTCCAAATCAGGCACGTACTGTATTTCACTTTGCCAAGATAATTAGTCTGGCAGACTCCAATCAGCTGAGAAATGGAAGCACCGAATTGATTTCTACTTCGTGAAACTCACACCAACACTGCAGAGAACAGCACAGACCACAGGTACAGTAATAAACAAAATCTCTGGTGAGCAGTAATTAAAGGCTATATACGTGGGCTGATAACATGCAGAGAGAGAAAACTCATTTCTCTCTCAGATAAGTTGGAGGGAGGCCAAACCCCGTGCCCCGGACGGAGCTGCGGGCTCCCGGGGAAGGAGCGCCGGCCCGCTGCCGCGGGGGGCTCCTGGGGGGCAGGCCGAAAAGGCCGCGGCACCAGAGAACTAACTGGAAGACGGGGTCTCGCTGGCCTCCCCGACTCTCACCCTGCGTCCGCGGGCTGCTGCCGCAAGCAGGCTGTGCAGCGACGCACGCCGCCCTCCGGCACACAGAGCTTCTGAAATGATCTGTAGCGACCTCCTGGTTATTGTTTTCTCCTAATTTCACGTCCAGAAACCAATATTTTTGTAACATTCCACGAACATTACCTACTAACAGCATAAAACTTATTTCCCCCCAAAACATAAAACTTATTTCTACAAAATACCTGAGTAGTGCTCCTCAAGACTGTCAAGGTCATCAAAAACAAGGAAAGCCTGAGAAACTGATATAATTTTGGAGTTCCGGCCAAGATGGAGGCGTAGGCAGAAACCCTTCACCTCTTCGCACAACCAAAAGGAGAACCACCAACCTAAAATCAATAAACCACCAACAAAAGCACCAGAAAATCAAAGTGTGTGGAATTCCGACAACCAGGGAATTAAAGAGAAAATCAACGAGAAGAACCAGACTGCTAAGGCGGACCACGGGGCTGGCTCGAAAAACCGCAGCCAGGCAGCTGGAGGGCGGGGCTGAGTGCCCAGCTGACTTGGAGGGAAACCGAGACTCGGAGCTGACGCGGGCTACGGGGTGGCCTCGGTGGGAGACACCTCCAGTCCGACTTGAGAGACTGTCGGAAAGTGCACTGGAGGGGAGCAGGCGGATGCGCCGTCCCTCTCCGGCCCCTCCCCCACAGGCAGTGCGGCCAGGAGGGTTGCCCCGCCCGGGTGAATACCTGAGACCTGCCCCCTTACAACTTACCAGGTGCCCTGAGACAAAGAAACATGGCCCCAATGCAAGAACACAGCAAGACCTAGGAACTATGCAACGAGGAGATTGCCAACCTATCTGACGGAGAATTTAAAGCTCTGGTAATCAAAATGCTGACAGAACTGATCGAACTTGGTTGAAAAATGAAAGATAGCCAAAATGAAATAAAGCAAAACATTCAGGGAACCAACAGTGACAAGAAGGAAACCAGGACTCAGAGCAACGATTTGGAACGAAAGGAAGAAACAAACATCCAACTGGATCAGAATGAAGAAACAAGAATCCAAAAAAATGAAGAGAGGCTGCGGATTCTCTGGGACAACCTGAAACGTTCTAATATCCGAATCATAGGGCTGCCAGAAGGAGAACAGCAGCAAGAAATTGAAAACTTATTTGAACAAAATGAAGGAAAACTTCCCCAAACTGGTGAAGGCAACAGAAGCAAGTCCAGGAAGCCCAGAGAGTCCCAAAGAGGTTGGACCCGAGGAGGAGCACACCGTGGCACATCATTAAGTTACCCAGGATCAGAGACAAAGAGAAAATCCTAAAAGCAACAAGAGAAAAGGAGACAGTTACTTACAAGGGAGTTCCCATCAGACTGTCAGGTGATTTCTCAAAGGAAACCTTGCAGGCAAGAAGGGGCTGGAAAGAAGTATTCCAAGTCATGAAAGGCAAGGACCTACATCCAAGATGACTCTGTCCGGCAAAGCTTTCATTCAGAATGGAAGGGAAGATAAAGTGCTTCCCAGATAAGGTCAAGATAAAGGAGTTCATCATCACCAAGCCCTTATTATATGAAATATTAAAGGAACTTATCTAAGAAAAAGATAAAAAATATGAACAATAAAATGACAACAAACTCACAACTATTAACAAATGAATGTAAAAGAAAAGAAAAACAACGAAAACAAAAACTGAGCAAACAGCCAGAACAGGAACAGAACCAGAGAAGTGGGGATCACACAGAGGATTCAGTGGGGAGGGGGAAGGGAGGCTAAGTGGGGAAAAGGCACAGGGAAGAAGCAGCATAATTAAGTAGGCATAAAATAGACAGGGAAAGATAAAAAATGGTATAGGAAACAGAGGACTCAAAGAACTTATATGACAACCCATGGACATGAACTAAGGGGGGGATACTGGAGGACTGGGGGGGCAGGGTGGAGGGGGGATAAAGGGGGAAAATTGGGAAAACTGTAAGAGCATAATCAGTAGGAAATACTTTAAAGAGAAAGAAAGCAAGCCTGAGAAACTGTAGCAGACCAGAGATGACAGAGACAGAACAACTAGAGCAGTACGGTGCCTTGGATCACACAGAGGATGTCAGTGCTCGTTTCGGCACCACATGTACTGGGGAAAAGAAAGGATACTCAGGGGAAAAGCGGTGAAACTCAGATGAAGCCTGGAGTGCAGCCCACAGCGACACTGCAGTACCGTCCCCGGTTGCGCCGTGGCAAGTGCGCCGCGGCCACAGGAGACGTTAGTCACAGATGGGGGACACGGGGCTACAGGGAGACCTGTCCTATCCCTGCAGTCTTCTGTGAACAAGAGTTATTAGGGGAGTGCAGAGTGGTGGGGGGACATACACCCAGGCCAGCCCAGCCCCAGCGCCACAGAACACTAGTGAACCACCCAGCAGGAGGAACACGAGCCCGAAAGGAAGCCGCCTGCTGCCCTTGGTATCCGTGCGGCCTTGGGAGAGGCACCCATTGAGTCTTGGTTTCCTCGTCCACAACAGAGTAAAAATATCCACCTTCTCCCCATGAAGGGTTGTGAAACTGAAAAATACATACATAAAGATAAATTATAAACCATATATACACGTGGCAAAAGAAAAACTATAAGCGTAAGCCCGTACACACACACCTACACTACACCCAGAAGTGGAACTCTGATTTATTTTTGTAATCAGGAGAGGAGAAAACTGCCTGCGCACTACAATAGCCCATACGCCCATGAAACTGTTCACTGAAGAAGGGTTTTTCCTCCCATTAAGTTGATGGAAGGAAAGAATCTGGATTCTGGATTTCAGGAAGTTTTTCTAAGCTTATTAAAAAGCGAACTGGAACAAGACCTCTATTGTACATTTAATTAGCTGCCCATAAAGTCAACCCGCAAACCGCTCTTGATTCATCATCCAACACTACATTCCAGCCGCATTTTTTGAGAGTTGATCACAATTCATCTGATCCTCAGAGTCAATAGGAAGTAACGGGCTGATTTTTGATAAAACCTTTTCAGGCTAGCGCTGCTGCAATGAAAACTGGCCCTGCCTCTACACTGAAAAACACACGCGGAGATGAGTGGCAAGGGAGAAAACACACCCGCGCCCCCCTCTCCGAGCCCGGGACACGGGCTGAGCCCCGCAGCACTCCGGGAGGGCGCGGCGTGTCCATGAGCCCTCGGAGAGCGGTGCTGAGGGCAAGCCCTCCCGGATCCCAGCAGCCTTCCCACTCCACGGCCGTGTGGGCAGCCTTCCCACTCCACGGCCCGGTCAGTGTCCTCCGCGGACGCCCGGGGCCCTCTGATTGCAGGAGCAATGGAGACGAGGGGGCAGGCACCGGGGTTCTCAAACTGCCTCTGTCACTAGCCAGCAATTCGACTCGGAGTCCGGGGCTCTCCCCCGAGGCCCCCTCTCTCTTTTATAAAACTAAGTGGGCTGGATTAGATCGTTGGTGGGGTCCCCTTCCAACCTGAACTTCTGATTTCAGCATAATTCACTACCTCAAGTTATTTCGCTTTGCGTTCATCACGAGGATCAGGCCCAATGACTATGAAAATTGCCAGACTGAAAACCACCAGATGACGACCCCAGAGTCCAATTTCTCGTTACTCAAGTAAGTTTTCAAAAATCCCAAACCAGTCAGAAGCAGTTTAGGAAAAAAAAATCCCAAATTACCTCAGGAAGCAAAGCTTAATTTGCCCTCAGAGATCACTACTTGCAGGAAAGGCTCCGCGGGATCAGCTCCGGCCAATTACTGGGTCTCACGGAGAAGGAGCTGGCCTGCAGCACGCAGTACACCCCCCCCCCCCCCGCCCCCGGCCCTGGGCCCTTGCAATAACGGGGCGTCTGTCCACAGACCGAAAGAACCAGACACTAGGTGACAACCTGACACAGACTCCAAGCCCAGCTCCCCGGCAGGTCCGTGCTCAAGCAAGACACCCCGCCGTCGGAGAGGGTGGGCGGGAACGCACCACCTGCTCGGACCCCCTGCCTCCTTCGCCGGCAGCTCCCACACTCCCCCCTAACGTTTCACTCTCCCCCAACTCAGGTCGTTCCAACACGCAGTCTGTGGAGCCATCCAAACTGCGAGGCCAGGGGTCCTCAACTTTCTCCACTGCAGACTTGCACGTGCACAGACCCAAATCAACATCTGTTATTCGGGGGAAGGAGAAGCTAACATGAAAGACTGCCTTCAGAAGAGAGCTTGCTGCGTGGACCGCGGCACACAGCGCCTGACCCGTCGTCACAGAGCAGTAAGTGTCTGAACCGAGTTCCCAGCCAAACCAAAGCAAGGGACGCTCTATTGCACCTTCATTCTTCTGTCCCTGCTCTCTGCTTTAGATGGATTAGAACAGCGAGGCATCCTCGGAGAAAAAGTCTCAGCCACTCGAAATCCAGCCTTTCGGGGAAGCTACCGTGCACACGCACCCTCGCTGTCCACCCCTGTCGACCCCATGTGGCACCCACGGGACTCACGTCGCCCCCCTGCCGGCTCCGAGGACCGTCCCAGACCAGTCACTGGACGAAAAGCTGCCTCGTTCTACTCCGGGGAAAATGTTCGTCTTAGAGATTTACCTGTTTAAGACGACCGCTGTGTATCTTCTTTCCACAAAAATAATTCCACATAAAATATTGGTAAACGGAGAAGGAAAATTTGTCTCTGGCTTCTCCTTTTCTTCAATTTCTTCATCCTCATCGTCATCCTCAGAATCACTCCAAGACACATAATTATCCTGGTTCCTATTATTGTACCACTCAACGCTTTCAAACTGCTGCCGCTCATATGGTTTGTATTTGCGTAGGATTTCAAGCAGTTTTATCACTTTAGGAGTTACAAATTTCAGGTCAAGTGAGGCAGGTGAGAAGTGCTCTTCACATAGTGCATGTATTTTCCGTAGGAAAGTGTCTGTAAACAATAGAAACTTCCTGTGCAGCTCCTCCTGCTCGTGCTTGATGTACTTCTGCAGCTCCCTCACCATCATGCCGGCCACTTTGTCTGCGCACCAGGGCCCCAGGACCACCAGCACCGCGCGGCAGTCTGACAGTATCTGCAACACAACGTGCAGAGCTCAGCGTGAACAGTCGGCGGGCAGCACTTCCCTGCAGGGTTCAACTGGGGTCTAAGCTGTCCCGAACTGCCCCTCCCAGACAAGTTTACCCCACTACGCTCAACTCTGAGGTTGCTTCCCTGAGGCTGGGGGGAGCAGCCGGAGGACTCTCCGAGCTCTGCTGTTTCCTATGTATTATGTCCAGAACCATTCTTTTCTTTCCCCCAGCCAAAACAATTAAATAATAGGAATTAAAAGATGCAACTGTATAAGGATAATAAAATTTAATTTTTCATCTGTGACCAGTTAGAAGTACGAATGAGCCATTTACTTCCAGGTAACTGTGCAAGGAATTCCGTAGCAGGAGTCACTTTATTTTAGGTATCAGAGAGCAACAAGTCTCCTTTAACTCTGTGCCCAGAGAACCACACCTTCCAACCCTGGCTCAGAGCAGAACATAGATCCACAGCGGGTAACTGAGGGGTCTTCTGCAACCGAGCAAAAGGCCCGGTGGACTGCACACAGACATGATGAAAACTCAAGGGCTGGAAAGAGTCTGCGCGCTGCTGCTTCAGAAAAAACCAGTGAGAGAGAAAGAAGATGCAGATTCAACAGGGTCAACACTCACGAATGGTTGCAAAGTCCTAGAGCAAGTTCTCAAGTTTCAATGTGTCAGGGTAACTGGAGGACTTGTCGGGTCTCGCAGGTCAGAACCCCGCCCTAGAGACTCACACTCCCTGGGTCAGGGGTGGACCCGTAATCTGCATGTCCCAGAAGTTCCGGGGGGCGGGGGGGGCCACACTTTGGGAACCACTACCCTAAGGGATCTCTTCTCAAAGCTGAGTCCCACTCAGGATGATGAGCTCATACCCACCTCATACAAGGAGACCTCAGAAGAAAGGGTTTGAACAGGAGCTAACCCATTTGGCCACAGGGGGAGGGGGGAGAACGGACCCCTTTTATTTAAATAGCCATGACACGAACCCTACGTCATCCCTCAAGTCAGGGAGGTCTACACTTAACAGAAATGTCTGTCAGGTAGTAGTAAACTCAACCCAATACATGTTTAATAAAAAAAATTCATTATACATGATAAGAAGGTAAGGCCTTCAATTAAAATGAACAGAAAGTAGCCTCATTAGAAGCATATTTTCATTTCAATACTAAAACAGAAGCCTTTTATTATACTTCCTGTACTTACTTGTAGATGCTTACCTGTTTAGAAATTGAAGTAGAATCTCTTTCTTTTGCATGTACAGATACGTTACAGTCGTTGATAAAATTAAGTGCTTCTTCTAATTCCATCAGCAGTCTTTCGTAAAGCCCACTCCTGTCCATAAATGGTCCACAGTCTACCACAATCTCATACGGCTGCGAAGTATACCTTGAACATCAGGAACAAAAGTTGCCGATACTACAATAAACTCACTACTGCATCACGATCCACTACGCATCCAAACCCCAAAGAAACCGCCCACGTTCAGCTGGTGCGCCTGCTCCGGACTGTAGGCTCACGGCCTCCCTGCGGGGCGGGGGGCGAGGCGGGGCTCGCCGGTGTCCGGGCTGTGCGCCGGCCGCCAGGGCTCCGGGGGCGACTGCAGAAAGCTGGCCGTCTCGGGGTTTTGTGAACTCATCACCACCCAGGTTTTTCATTTTGTTTTTTAGGGTTAGACTTTCATCTTTTATCTGCTTAGGAACAATGCTGATCAAAATACTCCAGAAACCCAGTGATGACGACTTCTCAGCAGGAGAAGTCGGTGATGGGGGTAGGTCACAGGGAGAAAGTGTCATCCTTAAACTGCCTCACTTCCATACTATTTGAAACTTCAGCACCTGCAAATGTCAACTTTGTTTTTAACTTCTCCCGACATAAGGAAAGTTCCCTTCCACTTTCGATCAATTACAATGTCATTCCTTGGATCTTTCATGCATTTCATAAACTATGACAACCAGAATGACACGTATTATTCTAAAAGCACAAGAAATAATTACGGAAAAGAAATACAGTGAAGACATATTTACTGCTTCCGTTTTCATTATGCTCCACCATAATCTATACTTAACCAAAGAGGCAGTTAGAGAAGCAGGTAATGCCAAATTCAACAGATTACTTGTCAGTTATACTTAAATGCTCCACTGCTGCTACTGTTTTTAAAGATGTCAGCAGGGCAGCCTACCAATCTAATTCGGGTCAAACAAAAGCAGAAGCACAGCCTTAACTGCTACGTCGTGGATCGTCTTGGCTCAGAGGCCAAAAGTACCGTGTCCCAAAGGTTACGAGGTCTGTATTTCATATAGCACTTGGGTACCCAAATTCCATAACCTGAAACATTTCCTTTTCTTCTCACTCTACCTAGAGAACTCTCCCAAAATTCTACTAAATGACAGGCACACTGAAAGTTGTTTTCTAGGTGTCAATGTAATGAATCATCAAAAAACCCCCTGAAACCATCGTCAATGCCACTGTATCACTTTAGGAACTGCAAATGACTCACTCCAAGTCACAGAGCTTACAGTCAGTGGAGTCAGTACTCGAAACCCACGTCTGATTCAAACCCGTAACCTGAGAGATCAGTCTTCTCTGTCTATTGTAACTGTCGCACTTGGTGATCTTTAGCCTTGTTCAAGATTGCATCTTACAAGGATATAAAGGTATTTTAATATGAATTGAATTACTTACTTTTATTTTAAATTCTAATTTATACGGGCTCCCTTCCAGGAACTTAAATCAAAAAGCATGGTGTGTGTGTGTGTGTGTGTGTGTGTGTGTTAATGAAACTCAAAATAGCAACCTCCTCAAAGAGACAAACTTAGAAATCATAAACATCTTTCTCAGAAGTTCACTCCCATTTTCAAAGTGCTTCCAATTATTTTAAAGCATACTGTAAAATACTAAATTCTCTAAATAGTGTTCTTCTCAAACCACCCCACAGGACACGTAGGCCATGGGAAACAAAGCGCACACACTGGTGGAAGAGGGCATGACTACACTGTCCACGCTCCCAGGCCCCGTCAGTATCAGCAAGTACGAAGGGTCCACGTTGATGCAACCTTCCCTCTTATGGCACAAGGAGCCCCATTTGCTACTCTGTGGGAAAAGGTTAAACCCCCGCCTGCAGCCGCCAGTAACCGTGCCGATAAAGAGCTGCTAGTCCTGCTCATGCCCGTCAGCAGCCGTGCTCTCTCTGAAACAGGCACCAGCTGCAAGGCACAGCAGGAGGTCCTGAAGGCTTGAAGTTAGTGACCGCTGGTCTGGCCACACCAAGTCCAGCCAAGTGCGTACCTGTCTAAGACCACCAGGTCAGTTGCAGTTTCGGCATTACTCTTAAGAATTTTCTCCAGTTTCTGAATCTTTTCTTCTAATTCCTCTGGATCACATTTCCCATTTAAAATGGAAGCAGTTAGTCCCAAAATACGAGGGCATGATGGGCAACTTTCACAGAGCTAGCATAATAAAAGATAAGGAAAAATTTCATTTTGCAAGGCCATAACAAGAGATAACACCATATTAAAACATGTCAAAGCGATTGACAAATACTAAAAATATTACTTACAGAAGTACAGTAGCTTATTTAAAAGCTCTGTTTATCAAAAGGGAAGATTTAAATATGCTATGACAGATTGTGCAATTCATTTATGTTTAAAATTTTATTACAGATTTAGATTATAGATTTATTATCGTTTCTTATTATAGAGTATAGATATAAGTGAACATTAATATTCATTCATTCACACACTGGAACCAAGTTCTCAAAATTGGCAACTAATATCGTTTTTAATATATAAAAATACTGCTTATATGTAGTAATTTGACCTGAAGTACTAAGGCTAATAAAATACAAAAGCTCACCTTCATAATTTCTCGGTAGGGGTGGTCTAGAATTGCAAGATGACACTCATCAAACACCAAAAGGTTAATGTCTGACAGTGATAAGTAGCCATTTTTCAAAACAATCAAGGCGACATAGCAAGTCATAATGAGAACCTAAAATGAAACCAACATCAGTTCGCAAACCAGCGCACCATTCGCCTGCCGGACCCACCTACACAGAAGGGGACCAAGGCGCCGCTGCACTGCAGGTGAGAACTACGAAATCCATCCGCCGTAACTACAGCGAAACTCTGAATGCGTGGAAGCTCGTACTTCAGAACCAAGAAGGAGAGTTAGGAAAACATGAAACAGACTACGAGAAAAATTCTTGATAATGAATACCTTTTTTAAAAAATGATAGCGCTATTAAATCTACTTCAGGTTTTTAGGTTCCTACAGACATATTTTGACCGGTGAGCCCTGCAAATGTAATCAAATCACAAAATACTTGACACCGTTTTTTTTCTTTTTTCTCCCCATTGAACTGACAAAGTTTTCTAGAAGATGACACAAACTAAATGTTCCCTTTATAGCTTCTTTCTGGGGCCATTGCAGTGCTTTTTAAACGCAGGCTCCGCCCACTCCGGGGACATGCTAGGGGACCCTCGGCAGACTCCGTAGGCCGGCCGCTCCTCACAGCTGCAGAGCCGCCGCCACCAGCACCCCAGAGGCCCTCAGCACAGGCCGGGCTACGCGGGGACTCGAGGTCGGAGGAGACCTCGTTAAAGACCCAAAGATCTCAGCCATGAAGTGTCTCCTGTTCCAAGACATCTCACTCAAGAGTAAATTTCCTGAAAGCAGGTTGCCTGCAAGTTGGAAATAGGCAGGTGGAATTTACGCTTTTTTCCAACCAAGTAAAATCACATGACAAAGCTGTTTCTTTTCTAAGTAAAAGCAACACAAATGAGCGATTTACGTGGCCCGAGGCTGAGACGCACAGGGAGAGAGAGCACAGGGCTGGCCGCCGGGCCGACGGGCACAGGGAAGCAGAGTTTGCAAGTCCTGCTCCGACAGCCAAGGATAAGGTCCCCTTACCAACCGAGTCCAGGCCTCGCAGGGATTTATGGAGTGGAATTTCTCTACAAGCCTTACCTGGTGCTTAGTAAACTCTTGGTTCCATTTCTCTTTTGTCCAAGATGCATTGACTTCTAGGTCTGAGTATTCCCCAACCTTGAGATCAGAATGAGTTCTGACGGCGGACACTTGCTGAGCGACCTGGTTTGCTGGTCACAAACAAAAACTCCGTGTAAATATGACAAGTTGGTTGTAACTGGTTCTCTGAACTAACGACTAAGACAGTTAAGAAAACCTTTCCCATTATATACTACACCTCACCCCCGACATAGCAGGTATTTCCAAAAGGCACGGATCAGACTCACCGCCCCGCCTCTGTCACTCCCTCCAGAGAACCCCGCGTCACCTGCTCGCTCTAGAGACGACCCCCCACCCCCAGCCTACAACCTGAGCTTTCGGGCTAGAATGGTAACCACTGCAGACCCACCCTGCTGTGTTCTTCAGTAAAATCAGATCGTTTCACCAGGAGACAACGGAGACCAGTGCATATTTAAAGCACAGAAGAACATCACATGCGGAGACCATCCGGAAAAACGGGGGTGCCATAGCCCCTATTGGCACCCGAGCAGCGCATGTTCACATTCTATGCTTTTTAAAATTAATACGTAATCCCAAACACACAAAAACCAGTGCTGGGAACTCACTGAGGAACTACTACAAAGCAGGTAACTGTCCTTCTACAACTGGTACAGTAAAATCATAAATCTTCTTAGTTACCTATCTCATAATCTAGCACGCTTTGACATATTTTATGAAGCTAACACACCAAATGCAAAATAACTGTCACAACTCTGATTATGTTCCAAGAGTAATCCACTCAAAAGAAATGTAGACTCAGAATTGAGTGCAATTACATTTAAAAGAAAAGCTAAAGTTTAACACCTGTGAAATAAAATGACTAGGATTTAAGAGAAATACCGTAAAGTTAAGAAATAAGACAGAATTGTATTTCTGCTATCAGAGCTTCGACAGGCACATTCTCTGTCGAACCCGCTACACTTTTAACCACTCGACCCAGCGCGCACCGAGGAACTGCGCTTAACCGCGGAATCTCATGCCGCGTCCCCCACGCGGTCCGGCAACACGGGCGCCCATTACCGGAGTTGACCAGGAACACCGTCCTCTTCCCATGTCTGGCGAGGTCCCCCCGGATCTGATAGGACAGCTCCTTAGTGAGCAGCACGGCGATGAACGTCTTCCCTGAGCCAGTGTTCAAACAGACGATGGTGTTGCGGTCCAGAGCTGCTTCGAGCAGTTCGACCTGGGGCACGGCGGGAAAAGAGATTATGCACCTCCTGTCCAAGCACAGACTCCAGAAAACTGAATTCCGTTCTAACTCAGGAACTTCCACTCTTTTCTAGAACCTTCCTCCCATAACGTTGCAGACCTTCTGCATCTGCACATACAAATGATAGCCGGAGGCACTGAAACGCCTGTCATGTACAGCTGTGCTGCGTAAGCACACACAGCTATACACGACAGGCATTTATGTTGAAACGCACGTAGGGTCTCTTTGAGACACTTTTGCATGGAAGGAACGCCGCTCTAGGACTGCAGGAACGACTGCATTTACAGCGACCGTGGTTCTGCCCGCTCTCGGTCACTCGGGCCAATCCCACTTCCACCCAGCTCATGAGGACAGACGCCTCCAAAGGGACATTAAGGAACAGCGAGGTTTCCAGCGAGGGAAAAAATGAAAAACTTCACAAATAAAACTATCAAACCAATGACCCAGCAGATGTTAGAAAAGAAAAGGACTATTACGAACAAAGGCATCTGGAATGAGAAAATTAATCAGAAGAGGAAAGCTTGAAAAGGTAAATGAGTTTTATGAGTTGTGTCAACTGTATGCTAATTTACTCCATTTTAGTGAAAATGCTCCAGTATTAGTGTTCTCATTAGTACCTGATATTTTCTCGGCGTATAAATGTTATCATGAATTGCTTCTTGCTGCCATGGCAGTCCAAAGAAAGGACCCATTGGTGAGGAAGCAGGGGTCATGAGCTGCAGGCCTGCCATGCTGAGGGGCTGCAAAGCAGGGCTTTTCATTCATCCAGTGTTTCTTTCATTGCATTTTGGTTCTAGCACAGCTTACTACAAAAGGGAAAAAGAATACCATTACACAACCATGCAGGGTTAAAAACAAAAGAGAGCACAGAAACAAGAGAAACATCAGAATATCACTCCTATGAGCCTTTCAAACTCCTCCTGTAACTGTTTTGGCTTTTTCTTGATCAAAGAGGACCCATTTTAAAAGCCAAGCATTCTCTTCTCTCCAACCCAGCAACCTTACCCCTGGAAACTTGTCTAAAAGAATTAGACAACCATACAAACAGGTCAGCACATGAACATTTACTGCTGCATTATTACTAAGAACGAGAAATAACTTTAAATGTATTAATAAGAAATCAGCTAAGCAAATGATGGAATGGCTCTACTGAAATACCTGGGATCCATGGAGAGAGCACACGTCTGTATTTACTGGACAGAACTACATCCGTAACGTGTAGAGTAGGACGCCTTTTCAAATGCATGTCTACACAAAACATGTAAGCATGTGCACGGATACATTCTGAGTGTTATCTGTGAGGCCTGCGGCGTCACCACTGCTAGGGTCAGGGGACGACGTGCGGAAGGGGCTTAGCGCTGTGCCTGTGCGGGGGCGGGGAGGGCGCGGGGGCAGCGCTCGGACGCCTGCCAGCACTGAGTCATTCGTCACGAGACCAAAGCCACAGGTCTTTTCTCAGCTAACAACCTGGCAGAGATGATCGACTACTTAAACACATATCTTTAAAACGATACGTATCCTAGATAAATTAAAACAAACACACTGCTCTGTGAAATGAGTGTTTTTTTATGGCATCAAAGCACTCCTGTGTCTTTCTGTCTTCTTTCCTAAAGATATTAAATCTGTTATGTAAAACGACAAAAATGGAGTCTTTCTAACGGCCCCAACCTGCGGACGGAGGTCTATGGTTCCCACTCTCTAGGTGCATCACCTGCCTCCCTGACTGGCAGCGGAATTCACGTGCCCCGTAGAAGGCAATTTCCTCCCTTGCGCTGCTTTGCAGTGTCCACTGTTTTCATTGTTATCGCCCTACGAAACTGAAAGGAAAGAATACCGCCCTTTGTCCCTGGACAACAAGAACTCCGCACATCCTGACACACTCCGTTTACAAGCCGGCACAGCCCAGGAGCCTCCAGCTGCGGCACCAACCCGACGAGAAGCCCCTGGCGCAGTCCTCTCTCACACATGAACACAACACAAATTCTGGTCTCAGAGGTTAACTCGTGGGCCAGAACTCGCCGCCCAACTAGCACAAGTGCCACCTCGGGGGAGTGGAACAGGGTGCACGGCTGCAGGAGCCACGGACCCCAGCAAGGCAGGCGCCATCTGGGGACCAGCCAGCACAGCCGCTCTCGTCACACCTCCTGGAGGAAGCCGGCAAGCAAAGGGTCCCAGAGTACGTTCTGAAAAACTACCAAGTCCTCGTTCTCCCTGGACCGAAGAAACAATCTGCTCTCTCTCCACTGGGCCAGAGCCCCAACAGCCACTCCTTTCACCCCACGCTAAGCGTTCACTTTGCTCAATTCTGCAGGCCCACAAGATACTCACCCTCAGGTTCACCGTTCAAGCTGTTTACTCGACACAGCCACCAAGAGCCCAAAGCGAGAACCTGTTTACCTAATTTCCTGAGAGTCAACAGGCCACGCTGGAGGCCGAGGCTGAGATCCGCAGGCACCTCCCACCTGGCTACATTCTCAGGCTCCCTCCGCCGTTCTCCCTCCCCGCCACAGGCTGCTCCCTGCCCAGGACCCTCACTTTTCACCCGACCCAAATCACAGACACGGCAGCGAGTGTCAGGAAATCAGTCTGCATCCTGGGCAGGAATGGGGAGGAAGGGAGGGGGGGAGGGCAACAGCGTGAATCCCCAAACGCACCTTCCTCCGTCATGTACAGGCAGAAACCAGCAACACCCCCTCCTTCCACTGCCACCAGGTCACTCGTTCTTCTCAGACAGGTGACATCAATAAGTGTAATAATTAACAGCTCCAGAAAAAACTGCCCCCAAACAACTGCGAAGAATGTTCTATTTTTTAAAAGGGAGGTCTGCATTCTTCAAAAATATTTCATAAAGTACAACAAAAGAAACGATGAAAACGTTCCAGAAGACTTGTAAAGAAGACTTTCAAGAGACATGACACCTAAATGCAGAAACCAGTCTCAGACCGGACCCTGCGTGGCAGAGCGACGCCAGAAAGGACACTACGCGTCCACGGAAAGGGCGCTGCTGAAGTCACTGGGTTGTAACCACACTACGGCTGTGGGCTCTGTAGGGCAGTAAGAGCCTCATTCTTAGGAAGGGTACACTCAAGTATTTAGCGGTCACGGGCCATGATACATGCAACTGACTCTCAAGGGGTTCAGAAAGAGAAACCACGTACAGACATGTGTACGGTGTGTGTGTGCAACTGATAAAGCACATGGGCAATGTGGGTGAAGCGCGTGTGTGTTCTTGTCCTCTTCGTGCCTTGCCACTTTTCCGTAAAGCTGGAATTTCCAAGGAAAGAGTTGCACAAAGTAAACGGGGTTTCCTGCAGGAGCTGTGTGTCTCACACCCGTCTGCACCACCCACTGTGCCCAACCACGCCCAGGACAGGGCGCACGGCCAACACAGGTCTGCAGGACAAAAACAATGCCCACGCACGTGGCACCGGAACCTTCGGACAGCCTCTTTCTGCCTTTCACAGTGCAGACCACACTGCATCCATTCAGAGACACACTCACACACCTTGTTCTTTCACGGGCACACGCTCCATAAGAACAAGATGTACAGCCTCATTCTCCACAACTCTTAAATGTCTTGGCACACGTACCATGTATACAGTTAAACAATATCCAGTGAACTGCATCAGAGATTCACGAATGTCCACACGATAACGTACAGAACAGAATCACAGACTGCTCAAAAAGATCTTTCTATTCGGTTTGGAAACAAACCCACACCCACCCTGCCCCTCCCGGCCTCGCGGGGTGCAGGAGATGGGACCTGCGAGGAGACGGGGGACAGCAATGCCACCCTCCCAGTCAGTCTCCACGAGGTCCTGACATTTACGGCGATGTTCACTCTTTCAGAACACAGTGGCTAGCCCCAGTAACAGACTTCCTAGCGAGAGGAGAGCAGATCCAAGATTTAAAAATTCAACAGGTAATCCAATAATGTAAAAACAGAGCAGTCTATAATTTTGCCAATTTTTACTTCCTCTGGCACGTTGAAATAGATTTTTCGTTTCTCCCTTCACTCGCCCTTTCTGAAAAGCCCCAAACCCCTGCCGGTGAGTGAAGTTCTGCGGCTCTCAGAGGCGCGGACTGCCGCTGACCGCTCTCGCGGCGCCAGCAGCACCTGCACGGGGCTGGTTTTTAATCACGGACTTTAACTCTGGCCAAACAACGGACACTCACGAAACTGGCCAGGTTGTTCCACACCTCCCATGCATTATTCACTTAGAAACAGCTTAGTGCAACATACAAACTCCTTTCCATTCTCCACGGAGGATAAATTGCTGATTTACCGTTTTAATGTGTGAGACCTCTGTGTTGCTGTTGTCTGAACTGCATTTTGACATTGTGACAGCAGCTCATTGGAAAATCACAGCATGCCCATGCTTCCGCTCTAAAAACAAACGCAAAAACAGCCAATTTTAAGGTTCTGGCACTTAAACTGAATACAAATACATCTATAAGAGCGTCTTATTGATATGAAGAGTTGAATAACGGCCATTATTTTTGTATTAAATCTTAAACAAAAGACATTTGGGTTATTGTAGGACACTAAGTTATTCTAAAACAAAGACTAAGAAAAAGAACAATAGTAGGCCTAATTCCAAGAGATGTGGGGGAAAGAAAAAAGTGCAAGAAAAGATTCTGGAATGAATACAAGGAAACAAAACAAAGTAAATAAATTCTGAAACAAAGTAAAACTCTAAAGATAGCAACTAGGAAAATGAAAGAACAAAAGGATAAGTGTGTGTTATTTCCTAAATTCCCACACCCAGAACAATGAAGGTCACCAGAGGAGGTACCCTGGCTGAAAAATCCAAGTGACCCAGAAATAGGTCTTCAATATGTGTACAAAATACACCAGCCATTTCGATTTCTCAAAATGAAATTAAAAACAAATTCAAAGAACAGTTAAACCCACACAGTAAACTCTTACAGAATTCATTTATGAATAAAATAATTTAGGAGCATAGTTCACCAATATTAATTAATATAGTACAGAAATTTAAATTGGGGGCGGCTCTCCCAGTAGAGATTATAAATCGAAAGCCCAGGCAGTACACAGTATTGAGACGAAAGCTGACTCCGTTGGCACCACCGACCGCTGGACCGGCCCGGGGCCGCCGGCACACCACGGCGCCTCTGGGCGCGGAGGCCCGGGAGGGACGAGCGGCAGCGGCCTCCTCTCGCTGCCTGCGTCCAGCCTGGCTGTGCAAAGAACAGTCCCGTGGAGGCTCAACCCTCTCACTCCACACACAGACTTATCTCCTAGAAGTTAACAAGCAGAATGGGGACCCCTTAACACTATTTAAGTATGTACATATTTACCTCAAAATGCTGAGTCTAAGTTCTTTCAGTTTCCAAGTCTGTATTAATTCATACCCTAGGTAACCTAAAAGCAATCAGAGAGAATATTTTAGAACATGCAACTCATCTTTAAAAACCAACTTTAAGAAATTTCCTACTTAACAAAATTTCCATCTATAACTCATCAGAATAAGATCCCTGATAAGATAATTTAGTTATATCTATTGGGAGTCAAGAAAACGGTACATGTCTGAAAGAGGTGCCCTTTAAAATCTGTATTTATTATGTTCTAATTCAAACATTTTAAAAAGTTGTTAGTACAATCTGACATAAGGGAGAATTCCTGGCAGTCAAGTACACTTCCCCCAGTAAAGTCCGGCTTTAAAGACACTTACAGGCTAAGCTAAGTCAGTCTCATGCTTACAGGACCACGCGAGCGTCTCCCTGCCCCCGAGCTCCTCCATTCCCGCTTCCTAACGCTGCCTCGCACTTCCGCTTGCAATTCCATTCCATTCCACGCCGCCACCCAGGAAGACGTGCACTCAGCAGACCAGGATCACTCCCTCTCTTCTCCTTCAAAGTCACCTCTTTCCTAGAAGCACCATAACCAAAATAGTAAGCTGATAATCCTTTAAAATTCATTGCAGCTCCACTATGACTGCTGAATTATCCAAATCATTTCCCTAGACAATCCTGTATAGATACTTTAGAAAGCTAACATGCCAAGCACAATGAGAACTGATTTTATGTTCATAACACAGAGACAATCAGTTGTGTTTTTCATTTTAATTGACGACCACGACTTAAATTACCAACGTGCAAACTCCTATCGGACAGGCTCCTTTAACTGTGAAAAAGACATGCCACATACCGCCGGCAGGTGTTAGTATAAACCAGCCAGCTCAGCCCGCATCGCCATCTGCCCCGGCACAGGGCTGCACTGCCTCCCACACAGGCTCGCGACAACAGGCAACTGATCGACCGACCCTCTGGTCTCAAGTCCAAAGGCATGTAGAGCTTCCTGGTAAAAGCAAACTTCCAACTCGCTCATTTTCTTGTAACGTGTCACAGAGTCTGACACTGGTAACTTTACAGATACCAATGTCCAGATTGTATTCCTGCTCTTGTGAAGACCGAACGCACAACTACCATAAAGTCCTACAGTGAACAAAACAAAAGCAAATAAAACAAAAGAAAAACAACATGGACATTGTTGCATCAAAACAGGGCCAAAAGTGCTTCTGTAAACTAACAGATAAAACTGAAAAATGGCCGAAGAGCCGTTAGACTAGTTCACAGTAACTGACCAGGAAGACAATTCTGAGATGCTCTACATTAAAATTACAGCGGCTAGAGAGACAGACAGAAAGACAGGCAGACGAAGAGCAGTTAGCCTGTTTAAGGCCCTGAGCCAGCGCTAACAAGACTGCTCACACTCCTTGGCCTGTGTTGAAATTGTGGATTCATTTCCAGGTGGCCATTTCCCCAGGTTTTTCCAAAGAGTGAACAGCAAGCCGACTCCGGACCCCAGGAACCTCAGCTTCTGGTTCACACCTGAGCTCTCCAGACTTGCGCACAGCCTACCCCAGGGGGCCGACTTCCCCCCGGGACTCCGCTGTCGCAGAAGTAGCCCGCATCACCTTCTCCTGACCTTTCCGTCTATCACCAGTGACAATTCCTTCCGTAGGGCTTACCCCTTTCTCTCCCCTGCCGGATGTATGAAAACACCTGCAAAACTCCAGGACTATGCACAACTATGCACAACCTGTCTCTCCCACCTAGCCACTCCATGCCCCAAGGCCAGTCTTTTTTTTTTTTAACTCCCAGCAATGGCCTAATAAACCCTTGCTTTTAGAGACTTTCAGCCATGGAAGTTAAAAAAAATTTTTTTAACATTACAAATATGCTATGGCATCTAAGGCACGATTTTAATTCCAACCAAGCCTAAATCGCTTAAGGGACCCCTCGCCCTGGACACCCAGTGACAGCTTTATATGACTGCTTATGTGGTCGCTGGTTTACGGGCAAAACTAAAAGTAAGAGGCTAATTCTCCCACTTAAAAATAAATGGAAGAGACCCTTTCCCTATCCTTTTTTTTTTCTTACAAAAGTCTTTCTCGGTCCTTTCCAAATGTGTGTGAATCTTAAACCTGAGTCCTTCTCACTTCTCAGGAGTGTTTCCTTAAGGACCTGAGAGCCCAGTCTGAAGTGTAATCAAGAAAGATAATGCCCAGTCTCCGAGTTTCCGAGGAAGAGATGGGCCTACTTTGTGATCTGACTCCAAACTGCAAAACCCGCCCCCGGTGAAAAACCGTAAGAAGTCGGCATTTGTCCTGACGACACGGATGCAGCGGGCGGGCCGTAACCACCGAGCTGCGCGAAAGAAGGACACGGCTGCCTGTCTCCGCGACCCCTTCAGCGGCCACCCCGCGGTGCGCTTCCCATTCCGGTCCCTGCGTTCTCAACGCCAGGGCTGTTTTCTCTCCTCCCGCCTTTGTGGGCAGATTTCCCGGGTTGTGAGGAGACTGCGCTTCTAACCATATTTCTCCAGCACCAGCTTAAAAAAAAATTAAAAAGAGTCCAATTCTCAAATAGCCAAATAACAAATACCAAACAACAAAACTCCGTTTCGTGGAACTCAAGTACTAGAGAAACCCTACAATGTGCTGCCCCAACTGTACTGGGGAAAGGAATTTCAGAAAAGAAGAGGGAACTCAGAGGACAAACAGCCCTACTAAAAGGAAACTTGCACACAGGAAGGATCCGAGTTCTTTAACTCCTGCCACCCACCTCTTCCACATTCAAGTCAGAGCAGCGTCTCACCGGTTCAGGCTACCTTCCTAGTCAAGCCCACAGGCTCACCCGGGAACAGGTCCTCATATGGTCACCCCCCCGCCCAGAGGCCCTCTGGTGTAGGGGGGGCACCAAGTAAGGCCACAGGGGATGTAGAAAGCAAAGTCTTTTTTGTTTTTTCAAGTGTTTCTCATTTAAAATCATCTGAATGCCAGCGAGGGGCCCAGTGTCGGGAAGACCAAGCCTTGTCAGACTCCACCGCCTTTCTCTAGGGTCGTTTCCTCGCCTCCAAGACAGGAGCGCCCGCCTGCTATGAAGGCCAGGGAAGGCCGCGCACGCAGGGCGTTAAGCCTGGTGGAGAAGAACTGCTCGCTGCACAGAACATGCTAAGGGGCCGCTTTTAAAAAACCACAGTGCCATCCCTACCCAGAACCATGTTTTCAAACAATTCTTAAGGCACTAAGGAATTTCTTGAAGGAAATCTAAAATGTTTTATTAATCCCAAAATTCAGGATAGAAAGTGTATTCTCATAAAAATTTGAAGCATACAAGATTGTATGCAGTATTTTAACCCGATGAACACAAAAAACCCAAAACTCCAACTACCTAGTCATGATGAATTTACAGTAGGATAAAACCTATTTGAGTCACAAAATAGAGTATATAATGTAAAATAAAATTAAATAGCTTTGTGTCCACTAGCAAAAGCAAAATGCAAAGAGTCCCAGGCTATTTCCGTTGGCCCCAGAGACAGCACTGAAAACACTACCTCCCTTCTTCCTGGTTCTCAGGCAGTGAAACGGTGCACCAATGGGCAAGAAGTCGTCATCACCAAATGGACAAGTTTCGAAAATACAGAAAGTTGGAAAAAACAAAAGAACTGGAAACCTCCGAAACTACTACAGCACACAGAACAGACATTTCAAGGGTTATCAGCCAGCTGCATCTGGTGACCACGGGGCGTGGCGAGACCAGGGGCGAACCAAAGGCAGGGACCAGAGGGAAGGCAGAGGGACAACAACGTCAAGGATGTGAACACTGACCTCTTCAGAGTCTTAATCACACAGACATTTCCATTGTAACTCGTCGTATCTGTCGTCACTAGTTAGAAATCCTCGCAGATTGATCTAGCCTACAACATGAACAAAAAAACCCTCGAGAGATGCTTCCCTCAACATTACTAACCATAACAGCAAAAAGTGCATCTCCCACCCCATGCCCAGACCTGAATGTCTCACAGTGAATGAGGGAATGGTTTGGTAGACCATGGTTCATTTTATGTAACAAAGTTCAATCGAGCCATTAAAAATAATGAGTTTATAATGAACAAAAATGCTTATGTTATAGCATTGAATGAAGAAAGTAGAACATTTTTATTTACAGTAATACCATGACTACATCTTCAAGTTAAAAATGTATGGGGGAGGGAGGGAAAAATGGAGAGAAAATATTCGCTCAAAAACTGAGCATGTGATTATTGCTGGGAGTAATTTCTCTTCCTGAAAACTCTTCTGCATTTTAAAATTCCCTACAATTGGATCACTCTATTACTTTTAGCAATGGAAAACAAACTTACAAACTGAGAATGATTTGTATAAAGACAATAGTTTAGAGATGAATGATTCTGTTTTAGGTACTGGAGAAGAAAAACCTCTTCCTTCTGGAGCCATTAAAGGCAGTACATTTTACCCCCGTTTCTATAACTTAAACCACAAATTCAATGGCCTTCTTTTTCCTGTCCTACTCTATGAACCAAATTTCTGAGTTTCTCTAAATCTGTAACATAAATATATTATGTTTACACTGCAACGTAATTATGCCTAAAATTAGATTTGTCCAAAATTGAAGCTAAATGCAGGTCAAATACCATTTTAACAAATTCCATCCGTCAACATTTCCATACACAAAGTGTCTCTAGGCTGCCGGCCAACGGCCCACTTACTGGAATGCTTTCCCACTCATCAAAATCGCAGACACCTGTCCTTCCCCTGCAGGTTGCCGACAGTGCCACTCGCCCTGCAGTTCTGCTTCAGGGGAAATGAACACTCTAAACACCACTAGCGTCCAAGCTGAGTTTTACGGTTGAGGTTTGATGCCTGCTTTCTGTCCTTGACTCAGTAAAAACACTGTTCAACAAGCGCTAGAATTTTACTCAATTCACGACACCACCTACCTATCCTTTACACCACTTACGGCCACCCATGAGGTGAAGGGGCCACAGTTTTCTATGTCAAGCAATCTAACACAGCATCACGCGGACATCTGAACACTAAGGAGAAGTCCTGAGACAAA